TAAAATCTTCATTTTTTACCAGTGAAAACAGAGACCGGAAGTTATGAAATATACCAAGCAAATCTTTATGAATTCCATTTCTAGATGAATAATTTCTAACATGAGTTCAAACAAATCTAGCAAGATATATTTCCTTATATGTGTTTATACATTTTGATGTTAGATAATAGGAGTTAGTTGGCAGAGATTTTCAACTTAGGTTTCAAGCTTGTTTGCATGACCACCAAGTGTCTGACTTAAGGACTGAGTTACACAGCTCTGAATAAGCATGGGAATATCAATTTCATCATGGTTTCAGGTACTCCTTACTAATGAGTGCCAACAAGCAAAAAATCGAGATCCAAGGTTTTCTGCCGAATGACTGTCACCATCCAACAGAAAAATACAGTATACTATGGTGTCACATCATTTCGCTTAGTGGTTACATTGCAAACGTCAGTGATAGAATTCGATCAGGGCTGAACACTAAGAAATAGACGGTCATATTGGCTAACCACTGATGGCCAATTTATATATATCTTAATCTAGGAAGATAGTGGATGAGTTTTTCCCTTCACTCATCCACACACTAACCTTCCCTACAGTATAGAAAAATAAGAGTTTTGGCAAATAAGTAGGGTGAATTATAAGTCCAAAATCTAAGGTAAAGGACAGGTTTGTTGCAATTCTAAAGAAAGCAGTGATATATATATATATATATATATATATATATATATATATATATCAATTCTTGAACTGCTGCTGAATCACGCTCGTATACATTCTAGTTCTGGGGAAATCAGTTTCACGTTTACATTTTGCATACACAAAATCATAATTCATTTACTATGAATGTATATTATTATTGATGCAAATGTCTTTACGCTAACAACAAAAAGCATAAGTTCTGAAAAAAGGAAGAAATGTTGTCGCTCTTTATACATGAAATACTTTAGAAGCCATATTCACAATACTTCTTATGGCTTCTGTCAGGCTTTGGTGAATACACCATTGGTGAATAATCAAAATCAATTTATCCACAAAGTGTGGTGAAACATAAAGGGAAAATATTCTACTGAACTGAAGGTTAGTAGAATTAAACCGTTGAGTATGATTATCTGCTCGGTTGTAGCTAGCAGAAGAAACCAGGACGCGCGTTAATTTTAAAAAAGAGATGCTTGAGATGAAGTGATCATACGACCTTTCGGACGACTTTCTTTTATTTTACTTTATTTTAACCTCGTCTAGTTAACTAGTTCACTAGTTACTAGCCAGTCCTAAGCCGGGATAAGAAGGAAAGGTTGGGCATAGGGCTAGCAATCCTACCCGCAAAACCAATCCAATCGCTAAAGAAACTTCAAACCACAGAGAAAATATGAAAAATGAAAGTAAACTTATTCTCTACTGGAACCAGGAAGACGAAATGACGCCGGTTGGTGAAAGCCTTCGGGAAGCCAATTAGCCGGTGTGTCCTCTCTTCTCTCCATAAAAGCAAAAGTAAGAATCAGGACATGGAACGTCCACACAATGTTTGAAACTGGCTGACAAGGCTGTCCAAATTACAGAAGAGATGAGGAGGTATGGTATGGAAGTGCTTGGAATTTGCGAAAGCAGATGGAATGGGAGTGGACTCCAAACTGTCAACTGGAGAATCAATAATCTACTCCGATATTGTCACCCAGACGACAACCACGAGCACAGCACACTGAGTTTTCGAGTGGCTATCATGATGTCCCCAACAGCATCGAAGGCTCTCTCTCATGCAGTGGGAACCAATCTCCTCCAGCATCGGGATCATGACAGCAAGATTCAACTCAAAAGGAAGGAAGGAAGGTCACAATCATATAACACCATGCTATGCACCTACAAATAATGCAGAGCACGAGAAGAAGTAGAATTCTACAGACAACTGCAATCAACACTGGACAAGACCTCTGTTGGCTACATCAGAATTCTAATGGGTGTGGCGACATGAATGCCAAATTGGGAGGGGACAACACAAGAAGAGAACAAACCATGGGTCGAGAAGCACTCGGTGAAATAAATGAGAACGGAAAAACTGTTTGCAGAATTCCTTGCATTCAACGATTTGGTGATTGGAGGTGAGGCAGTGTGTTCAAGCACAAGGATATCCACAAAGCAGCGACATGGATTTCGCCAGACACCACTACACACTAAAAATCAAATCGACTTCATCTCAATCTGAAGGAAGTGGAGACACAGTCAGCCTACTTGACACAAGGTCAAGAAGAGGAGCAGATGTAGGTTCACACCACTCACTGTCTAGTGCAAGGAACCTACCTTCAAAATCAAGTTGAAAGCCTTCAAGGAAGCTGGTGATAGACGACCACAGTTCAAGTACAACACTCGGAACAGAAACTGAAGGACGAAACTACAAAGGAAATCTTCACGACAGCCAGCCATCAAGACAAAATGGGAGATATCGAGGAACATCCCTGAAGAAAGCTGTGTGGAGAAACACTGGAAGTCTTTGAAAGAGGTGTGGAAAGAAACCTGCACAACCGTATTACGAAGGAAGAAGAAAGAAGATAAGGAGTGGAATGTATCTCGACGGACACATGGAAGCTGATAGAGGAGGGAGAGGAGGATGGTGAAGTAGAAGACAAACCAGTTTAGGGATGCACAATGGAAAGGCGACCTGAGTACAACGTACAAAACACTACACACAAAGACATGAGACACTTCTACGAAACACTGGCAAGTGAAGTAGGACAGGCTGCAGGTAGGAGAGACACAGACCTGACAACATTGTATCAAATAACCAGGTTACTATCTGGGAGGGCAGAGATCAACGCAGATGAAACCAATGTAAGATGGTGACGGAAATTTAATTACGAAAGAAGAGAACCTGAGGAATCGATGGGCCGAACACTTCAAGAAGCTCTTGAATCGACCACCACCACCATCAACTGCAACTCATCCAGAAATACTACCTACAACCGCTGAACTACCAGCGAACACAAATCCTCCAACAAAAGTGGAAGTTCTGAACACCATAAAGCTTCTGAAATGAGGGAAAGCAGCAGGACCAGATGGAATCCCACCAGAAGCATTGAAAACAGATGCAGAGACAACAGCAAACATGTTCACACCACACCACTATTGCAGAAGGTGTGGAAGGAAGAGAAGGTACCTGGCTGGTGATTGGAAGAAGGGTTACCTTGTCAAACTGCCGAAGAAGGGAGACCTCAGTGTTTGCAAGAACTGGCGTGGAATCACTCTCCTGTCCACTCAGAGCAAGCAAAATACTAGGCCGCATCATCCTAGAGAGGCTGAAGGATGCACTGGATTTAAAACCACGCCCAGAACAGCAGGCAGACAGGCTTCAGCAAGTACAAATCATATGCGGACCAAATTGCATCGCTACACTACGCATCACCATAGAACAGAGTATAGAATGTCAGTCAACTCAACTTTCGAACTCAACTTCATCGACTTTGAGAAGGCCTTTGACAGCGTCGACCGAGAGACAATTTGGAAACTGCTTCAATATTACGGAATATCGCAAACCTTTTCAGCCTCATTTAACAAGTATATGCTATCACCCATGATATTCCTGATTGTGGTCGACTGGATCATGCAGCTGACAACAGTGGGGAGTGAGAAGAGGGGGATACGCTGGCTGGACTGCGGAAAAGAACCTAGAAGATCTGGATTTCGCCAATGACTTGTATCTGATGTCACACAAACTGGAAGATCGACAGGCGAAAAGTAACAAGTTGGCAGAACAGGTGAGGTGAGGTGAGGTGAGGTGAAGACGGGACTTCAAGTGGATATAGAGAAGACAGGGGTGATGAAGATACCGCACCAACAACTCCAACAACAACAACAACAACAACAACAACAAACTCCAATCACCATCAACGGGAGGAACTTGAAGGAAGTAACCTCCTTCACCTATCTAGGCAGCACTGTCTCAACTACAGGTGGCACAGGCACAGACGAGGATGTCAAAGTCAGCCAGGATCGGGAAAGCAAGACAGGCGTTCATTAGCCTGAAGTCAGTGTGGAGATGTTCTGCACTCCACTCCACTCAGCATGTGGAACAAGATGCCGATTTTCAACACCAACTTCAGTGAAGTCAGTGCTCCTGTATGGTTGAGAGACTTGGCCGGTTACCAAAGGCATTTCCAACAAACAACTGCAGACATTCATCAACAACTGCCTACGCTGGCTCGCTACTGACACTGAAGATCAATCAGATGGCCAGAATGATAAGAATAAGCAACAAGAAACTCTGGCTGACTGGCAACGAACCAAGCAAGAAGCTATCGCTGAACAAATATGCAGTGTGAGAAGAAGTGGATATGGATTGGATTGGGCATAGACTGAGAAGGCCGACTGGGGACATCACTCGTCAGGCGAAGCCGTCGAGTGGAACTTCGATGGGAAGTGACGAGTTTGACGTCCGTGGTGAGGGTGACATGGAGGAGATCGTGGGAGGAGGAAATGAGAGGTTGTGTGTTGTCGTGTAGCCAGGTTGAAAAGATTTCAGAGAAGAGAGTGGGATGGAGACATGCTAGTGAAGCCTTATGTCCCATTAGGGACTCAATGGACAAATAATAATGATAATAGTAATAATGAGATGAAGTGGTTACATGACTTTTCGGACGACTTTATTTTACTTAGCTTAGCTTATCTAATCAATGCATAAAAGAAAGCTTACGTTTGTATTTACCGTCTTTCGAAAGTATTTGTTTCTGACTAGTCTGAAGTATATTTTTCACTGCTAAGTGCCATATATGAAGATCATATCTGGATACGTTTATTTTTCTATGGCTTGATTCTCTTGCTGTAGAGCAGTTTAGCTACTCAACTTTGCCTTTAACAATTCTTTGGGATATTCACTTCGTTTTTGTAAATGAAAGTCATACTGATCTCAAATATGTCACGTATTCAAGAGCTTTGGGTGTAGGAAGAACAGTACACCAACTCGGCTTTTTCTTTCAAACCACACAGAAAAATTCTCTGACAAAAAGTATCAAAACAAAAAATCTTACTTTTGGTTCCGGAAAACCAGTCACTTGACATTCCAGTTTAATTTTCTCTTGTTCGCCAACATCAGCATTTTGTAAGGGTGATATAAACTGAGGCGGTCTACCGTAATCTGATGCTGGACGTGATTCAGGAATATAATTTCTCATTCTTTAATTGTTTTTTAAAGAAGAAATAATAAAAAATAAATGTGACGAGTGTAAACTTTTCTACTTATCTGATAAAAGGATGAAATGCAATAACAAGGCAGCTTGTGATAACTTTAAGCGGCAAATTTTTTTCTCTCAGAGGTCGTATTCATCATGATCTGACGTCATTTGGGGAACCGTTGAAAATCTTGGAGTACTGGGCAGCTGTTTCGTCTTCGTATGGGACTTCTCAGCAGTACGTACCCACAATCCGGCTGGGGATCGAACTCAGGACCTTCAGGTTTAAAGGTGGACGCCTAGCCTGGTTGTGGGTGCGTACTGCCGAGGAGTACTATACTAGGACGAAGCAGCTGCCTAGTACTCTCAGATTTTCAGTGGTTCCCCAACTGACGTCAGTCCATGAGGAATACCACCTCTAAATTAAAAATCCCCATTCATCATAGAAGACATTTTATGTCAAAGATGACAACTATTGCAGTAGCATTTTAGATTCTATACAGACCAGGTTCACAAATTTTGTAGGTCACTTGATGGAGGACCTGCATGGTAAAGTGGCGACCGTTGTTCTGTGCTTTAATGTAATCTTTTATTTTGTTAAACTGCAGTTATCAATTTATATGAATCCTGGTCAAGATTTACCCGAAGAGCTTAACAAATATTGGGTGCCGAGTGAAACGTTGACATTCGATACAAGTTAACAATGCCAAAAGGCTGTGCATTGGGAGCCATATAGCGTATACAGAGTACAGTTACTGGACACTAGCATTCCAGTTATCATGAGAGTATGAGACGTAAGTCTAATCATTATTAAGGATGAAACGGCTACGCAGCGTCGTTTGATTCCAGTCATTCATGGAATGATGAGATTTGACGGTGAAATTCCCTAAGAAATTAATAGCATTTTCAAGCGTAATTACTATCTACTAGAAGAATGTAAGAAAAGTCTCATCAAAACATGAGACTACAGAAGATAGTGAAAGAGGTGATTATGAATTTTAAAACACGTTTATGCGTAATCAGTGTCGAACTGAATGTTTTAGTGAATGTAAAAACCAGGCTATCAATTTCCAGTTTCATTAAAAAAAAACCCAATAACGGTTGTTTTTAGAGTTAATGAAATCGTCTGATTCCTAAGATATTAGGTAACACTTACAGCTGATAATATTTTCCATACTCTAAAAGCATTAGTGCTCACTTGGATCGATTTTTTATAACAGATGCGTCGTTTTATGTCGTCACCTTCATACTGCAAAGTCACTCTAGAAGAAATGTGTTCACTATTAAATACCTGTGATCAAAATAGTCTAATGACATCTGACAGCCAAATAGATTTATGGCGTATACATGCATACAAATAGGATGCTCAAGTATAAAAGCCTATGCTTTCACATCATTCAGATGTGCTATCCACAGATCGTACTCCCAGAGTTAACTAAGTGCCTCTGACCATACAGCTGGAGGAGATGGATCCGAGTCTCTGAGGTTGTATGTATTTCGAATAATCTCCAGTTACACCTTGTTCAGAGGTGTTAAGCAACCATTTTTACTGTTTGGAAAAACTGAATGCATAATCTTTTATTTGTGTAACCTATCATTAAATTGTAACGAGTATTACATGTATCAATTAAGACGCAGAAGAAGCTCATTTCTCGAATTCCTTTACAATCAGAACTAATCTATAAGTCAGTAATTCAAGAGGTCAGAGGGAATTTCTTATTATGAGATGCAATATAGAATATCATCATAAAAGTTTCCACTGTGGTTTATATTGATCCACGAAACCATTTTATGCGGAAAACGTTTCAGATGGAAGATAGAAGAAAGATGCACACAGAGATAGGTTTTTCGCCAAATGTTTATATCATAAAATCCTAGTGTCACCCATAGTGGATTTCGAGCGAAAGGACTGATGGTTGATGATACACGTAAATATTTGACAGAAAATCATAAAAGAGAGAAAAATCAGAGATGGAAATCACTAATAACACATTCCCATACTGTTCACAAAATTGACCTGTCACACTGCTGTAGATCGCAAGTAGCTGACGAGAACCACCGAAATAACAAAATGGATCCATATTATTCTACTCCAACGTTTGTTTTTACTCTTTTAAAATTTATATAGGAAAGTGTGTGCACAGTGTTCTATTAAACACGAATGTGCTATGAAGCTAATAGTTGTTGAATAGCTGTGTCTTTTATGGTAATGATGGATAGTGGCTAACAGTGGAGTCCAGGATGTGCACTTCGTCCTATTTGGGACTGGTCAGCTACATGTACCTGCCTTCCAGTGAGTGTTTTTCCCATTATAATCGAATTAGGGATAGATTGCTTCAAATGCCAGAGATAATATCTGTATCTTTTGTTGACCATCACTCTTTGGAGGTCATAGTTCATAGCTTTATAGTTGTATAGATTGTACTGTTGCATAGTATATTTTGATCTCATTGGAAATTCTAATACTTTGTCAGTGCTACAGCTGACACCAGTTGGCAAAAACTAGACTAGATTGAAAGTTAAGAAAAATAAATAAGAAATATTGTAGATGCATTTATAAAACTGCTTTCAGTAACAGGAACTGTCTGGTTGCTTTAATCAGAGTTTTTACAGGTAGAATGATACCACGGAATTATTTTAATGGAATGATCGAAAAAGTGTTGTTCACACACAATGAAATATATCATAGAAGAACTAAATTACTCACCTTAGTGGTACAGAGAGTATTGTTGTAGGTGGCACAGAAACTGCTCTCTGGAAATCTCTGGAATCTATATATGGAGTAGCACCTTTAACTACTCTAAGTGGAATCACTTGTTCTTCTCTCACTCCATTAGGTGACTGAGCTATACGCGATATTTTGGCGGGCTCAAATAGTTTCATCTAAATCAGGTTGTATATCTCTTCTGCGGCGTGAAGCTGTTGGTCGGAAAGATAACTGTGAAGGTGATAAGGTTCACGCTTCTCTAGAGAATAAACAGTCACACTGCAACTTGTTGTAGCAAATCCAGCCTGATTACGTACTGTACATGTATATTTTCCACCTTCTAGTTCAGAAACCTGGTGAAAAGGTACAATTATGTAATTTAAAAAGTAATCAGTTACTGCCATTTCCTAATTCACTTTGACTGTGATTAGAATGGGAAACAAATTGTTAAGTAGTTACTGTCATAAAAAGGTAACAATTATGCATCTCTCATCAACGTGACATTTGTGAAAAAGACAGAGCTATTCAAGCAAAACTGAAATCTGTTTACCGAGTGAAGCTTGATAGTTTAGTCAAAAAAACACAGGAGGCTTAATCTTCCAAAACCACCTAGGAGTACATTTTATGATTGCTAAACATTTTTCATCAGTAAAGTTATTTTCACCTAACAAGTCATTTATATTGATAAGTTATAACCTGCAACACTCAACATTTTACTTTGCTGACTGTCTACATACTGCCGTCTACGGAATAACCATGGTTTCAATGTTGTGTTTACCAACAATGAAGTCGTTTTGATGGTGGAACATCCTGTAGCCATTTGTTAAGTGCGGCATCATGGCAATTTCGATGAAACGATATATATATATATATATATATATATATATATATATATATATATATATATATATATCAACTAATATCTCTGTGGAGAGATAAAGAGAGGGAGGCCCGTTGAACGTATTTCGAAGAAAGTTAACTAGTGCATTTCAAATTATACCCCTACACAGTTAAGAAAGAGCTAAATGGAATACTTTTCAGTTACGAATTTCTTGCATCTGGTCAGTAGTTATTTTAGCAGTCAGCAGAACTTATCACTTTCCATCAAGCTTCATTATTGCTTTTCGAACTTGCATTTTAAACATAACTGAGAGTATAAGAACTTTAGCGAATCGTCTCAAATTTTCTTGTTTGTATGAAATGTGTGAAATCTACATTACTGTCACTACTAAAAAAGAATAAGTTGTAGGACTGATGTCAGTTTTGGAAACTTTTCATTTGATATATTTACTACATTAATAATCCATCTGCTTCATTCATTAATTATTTGGTGCTTGTTCCAAGTTCTAGCTTGTTATTAGTCCAGAGGTACTTGAAGACAGTTTTCATCAAAAAGTATGCAACTGAAGCCTAAGTGAAATTGATTCACCATGCTATCATGTTTTTATTGTCTTCATCACTACATTTATGACCATGATACATTAGCTGAAATCACGGAGTAGCGAATCACTTTGGCGAGTTTAACGTTTTATGCACAAACGTAGAGCTATATGTAGCTGAATTTGAGGGGAATCTGACTGCCTTCTTACGCATGCAGATTCTTTTTTAAAAAATTTGCTTCGAGGAAATATTTCTAATAAAATTCAATCATACTCCATTTTAAAACCGAACTTAAAGCGTACAGTATACTCTTCTGAGAAGGTAGTCACAGATATTGGCAGTGTAATCAGTAGAATTTAAGAAACACTAGTAAAAGTGTTTTATATATCACTCTCAATATATAATATGAGCCTTCTCAACAGTATACTATCATTTATGATGAGGTAGGGGCTTTAGTTATCTTACAAACTGCACTATCTTTGTTGTCCATAAGATATATGGTTGTACTTTAGCTTACAAGCATATTGTACGTTTGTTTGTGAGATAAGTTTAATATGAAAACAGTATGTGAAAATGTTGAACAAAACTAGTTATATTGAGCCAAAAGTCATTTCTCTGAAAGTGATGAATCTTAAGGGATCTAATAAATTCGTCCATGTGGATTGATTCAACAGCTTAATCTTTCCCTTCATTCATTATGATCTTTCTCAAAAGGCTACTTTAAGATGTTGCAACATTTTGAACGAGAAATAGGATTATTTTTAAAAGTATGCAAAATCAGATAAGATAAAAACAAAACAGAAACAATTGGTAATCTTGAACAAAATAACTTGAACTTACCATGAGAAGATGTAGGCTGACGGTGTTATTAACTTCCATTGTAATACGACGACGGCCTATTTCTCCTTGAATTGGTATATCATTTTGATACCATTCCACTTCAGCAGGAAGTTTACTCTTTTTAAATGAAATAAAAATGATTATTCCACAATGAAAATAAGACCTTATAGTAGTTAATAATCATTATAACATATTGTTTTGTGAAAACTACTATTTGTATGTATAAGTAGTTTTCAGTAATTCATGCATTCACTTCCTACATTGATATGAATTTAACACCGACCATTTATGCATATGTTTAGAGCCAGAATGTGCCTAGGCTTCGTGTGTAATGAAGGAAAATTAAAAATCAAAATTAACATTTACAACATCATTAGTTCTAGGCTACAATTTCCCAGATACATTAAACTCCTTTATGAAACAAGACACTACTCTTGCTTGCCAGATTTTATCTCTGTTGTTAAGTAGATTATACCTTGATGTCATAGGGTTGCCAAAGTGAAGAAGTGTTATTCCAAAAACATGGATTTAATTTACTTCATTTAGAATCTTATTAGGTTGTCAACTAGGGAGGACACCGATGACATAGTGATGAAGTTAACTTATTGTTAAATTTAAATGCAGATAAACAATATGAATGATTGAGCTGAAGAAAAATGATACCTTAAAATATAATTTGAAACATGAAAAACAGCTTATTCGACACTCTTATGTTTAAAATAAGTACTGTTAGTTTTCAGTATTACTGAAAAGAGTGGTATAACTTCATATATGATGAGTCATGGATAGACTGAAAGGCTCTCTCATATTTCTACCACTAGTACATCAAATACACATCATGCCAAAATAGCAGTATTACTTTCACTGGGTATACTAATTTTTTTCGACTGTATAATTTGTTTATTCAGGGGTACACTTAAAGGTCAATTTTTGTTGATTAGTCCATATTTTAAAATAAACATGTAACACAGACACTAATGTAAGCCATTAAGATAAATGGAAGACTAAAGAATTTTTTCAATCACAATGTGTATCAATATGTGTTTCAGATAAAGGGGTAAGCGCAAAAGAAACACATTTGATTTTTGCTAACAACAGCCTTAACAAACCTAAACGGAAGTAAAAATATTAATCGTGAAAAAAGTCTAGTACTTTTTAATTCCTGCATTAGAAAAATGTTGTCTAACCAAAATTACGCTTTTGAAACTATATTTGCTATCTATTTCCAAATATTCCCCGAAACATTGAACAACCTATCTTGAATTTGTGAGATAATTAAACTTAGCATCCCTCCCATGAACAAACAGACAACTTGTATTAAACTTGGAGGTTTGTAGGGACTTATTTATTGAATTCAGGTTGACATGTATCATGAATCAACATCAGTTAGAGAACTATTGGAAACCTAGAAGCGCTGGACAGCTTTTTTGCCCTAGTACAGGACTCCTTGTGAACTGATAAAAGTAGGAAATGTGGAGCATTAAATGTCAACCCAAGAGCTCAATGGTAATGCGCTGGCAGCGGAATGTGACCATCCTGGGTTGGATCAGTGGTGAGGTCATGGATAGGCACTGCTGAGAAATCCCAGGCCGGAATGAAACAGCTGTCCAGTGCCCCAGTTTTCCAATGATTGTCCAACTGGTTTCGGTTTATGATGAATATCAACCTGAAGACAGTCTATATACTAGCCAGAGAAGTACTCACCCACTAAATTTCGAAGATGGTATTAGTCATGGACCGATATCAGTTGGAAAAACATTGGAACCTTGTGAGTACTTGACATCTGTTTCATCCTGGTACGTGACTTCTTAGCAGTACCCACCCATGACCCCGCCAGGGATCGAATATCAATTTGAAAAATCACTAAATCCCCACAAACCCCAAAATTAAATTCATCTATTAATTATTTATTATTCAGTACTTATGATAAACTTCGCTTCCAATTTCATTCCTGCTTGGTTAAAGTTTTCATAATTCCTCTGCATTACAATCATTTTAGCAAGCAAGACCGTCAAATTCAGGATATTCTGATAGATAGTCAGTCGCTTCTCCTTCTGACTCCTCTAGATTTCAGTTAGATTCCGAAATCCTGACCGGGGAGTTAGTTTCTTAAGAATGAACAATTACAATTATTTGAGTTAAATTGATGGTAATTGGAGTAAAATTGAGAATTATTTGGCAGTAGAAAGTCATACCTCAATAGGTATGTTGTTATGTGAGACCACCTAGAAGTTACTGATTGAAGCTCTGTGGGAACCCAGATTTCTTTTTATCTCAGTCATCATTTCAGTTATACTAATCGACAAATCATATTGTCATCCTATTCAGTATGCCGGATGAGTACCTCTAGCCTATGGCAAAACCAACCTGTCTTTCTGTTACACATTGCTTGGTGAAGTAAGCAATTTATTATTATTCATTGGGATTTGTAGTTTCCCGTTGTTTTACTGGATCGAAATCCTCAACCAGTTTAGAACAGTGAGGAATTACAAGCATCAATAGACAATAATAACTTATATCCAGTGGACAAGAGAGGTCTGTTATGCCTCAGTGGCCCATTGGGCAGAGACATCGCATTTGAAGCGAAGCGTACTGGTTTTGAGTTACACTAAGAACACCGTCACTCACTGGGATGCCGGTACGTCCGGTTGACGGATCTCAAATAGAATGAAATGCACTCTCTGTATTCCGCTGATAGACACCATGAGATACGTAACATGAGCTATATTATTATTATTATTAGACCCTTGGGTTCCTAATGGAACATAGGGCTTCACTAGCATGTCTCCATCCCACTCTCTTCTCTGAAATCTTTTCAACCTGGCTACACGACAACACACAACCTCTCATTTCCTCCTCCCACGATCTCCTCCATGTCACCCTCACCACGGACGTCAAACTCGTCACTTCCCATCGAAGTTCCACTCGACGGCTTCGCCTGACGCTTGGTGTCCCCAGCCGGCCTTCTCAATCTATGCCCAATCCAATCCATATCCACTTCTTCTCACACTGCATATTTGTTCAGCGATAGCTTCTTGCTTGGTTCGTTGCCAGTCAGCCAGAGTTTCTTGTTGCTTATTCTTATCATTCTGGCCATCTGATTGATCTTCAGTGTCAGTAGCGAGCCAGCGTAGGCAGTTGTTGATGAATGTCTGCAGTTGTTTGTTGGAAATGCCTTTGGTAACCGGCCAAGTCTCTCAACCATACAGGAGCACTGACTTCACTGAAGTTGGTGTTGAAAATCGGCATCTTGTTCCACATGCTGAGTGGAGTGGAGTGCAGAACATCTCCACACTGATTTCAGGCTAATGAACGCCTGTCTTGCTTTCCCGATCCTGGCTGACTTTGACATCCTCGTCTGTGCCTGTGCCACCTGTAGTTGAGACAGTGCTGCCTAGATAGGTGAAGGAGGTTACTTCCTTCAAGTTCCTCCCGTTGATGGTGATTGGAGTTTGTTGTTGTTGTTGTTGTTGTTGTTGTTGGAGTTGTTGGTGCGGTATCTTCATCACCCCTGTCTTCTCTATATCCACTTGAAGTCCCGTCTTCACCTCACCTCACCTCACCTCACCTGTTCTGCCAACTTGTTACTTTTCGCCTGTCGATCTTCCAGTTTGTGTGACATCAGATACAAGTCATTGGCGAAATCCAGATCTTCTAGGTTCTTTTCCGCAGTCCAGCCAGCGTATCCCCCTCTTCTCACTCCCCACTGTTGTCAGCTGCATGATCCAGTCGAACACAATCAGGAATATCATGGGTGATAGTGGGGGGGGCAACCTTGTTTTACTCCCGTCTTCACTTCAAAAGCATCACTGAGCTTCCCATTGCGAATTACACATAAACTATATCAGTGTTAGTAATCTACACTAAAACCAAAATCTATGAAGTTTTATATTCATACTACTGAGAAAAATGAGTAGTTAGAATTCACTGACACTGATCTGTATATTTGCTAGAGAACCTCAGCTATGTTTTGCTGTGGCCTTTTATGTAATCCGATTAGCGAAGTTTGCAGACACTTTTGAGCGATATCTACCCAAATGTATCGCTCATTAGGAGTATTTTTCATTAACTCATGTATTTCTGGCGTAGATAGTCTTGTTAACGCAGTTTTTAAATCCCTTTTTATCATCTACATATGTGACAAAATACTGCATCAAGCTTGAAAAAGGTTGTTTATTCCCCTAATGCCTAGTTTGGATATATAAGAAGATAGCTATATTTCTCACTTTGTACTGAACTGTCAATTTACATCTGTCACCAACTTTCAGGTTCATATTTTGCAGTGGTTGGATAATTTCAGGTGGTTGAGCTGGATTTATTGTAACTTCGCAGGTTGTTGAACATTCACCATGTGGATTAGTAGCACGGCATACATATATTCCTGAATGATTCGCCACACGACATTGGGAATCTGTTACGAACACATAGATAAACAACAGGGGAAGGAACAGGAAAAAATATAGCATTCCATCCTAGAGGTTATTATAGTAATTATAATCTAATATATAAATTTACAAATAGCTAAGGAGTAACGTTTGTAACTGCAGTATGGTTAAAAAAGATGTCGGTGTATGAGTAGGTATGAGACTCACAAGGTTACAGACACTTCTGTTGAAGAGAAACACTTATGATATGGGAAGATGAGTCGGGATACATTGTAGGCTAATTACTACCCAGCTTGTGTATAAATGAATATTTTAGTTCATCAGATAATAAATTGGCTGTCAGTAGTTCTACTCTTCGATATTTACTTAGTTGAACTTTCATTACCATTATCATTAGTTTTAAATATACTGTTGCCGTCATCATCATCTACTCAATTACCTTCGAGTACTACTGTTCCATATTTTCCTAACATGTTTCTCATTCTCGCATGAAAATGTCCTAAGACATAACTTTTTATGGACTGGAGAAGGTATATGCAAGAAGATTATTTATGGTAAGAAGCAATAAAATCTAGGCTTAAGTTGGCTTCCATACAAAGTAAGAATAATAGAGAAGTTGAAATGTTGGTTGTTTTTTTTAATTCAAACAAATGTAGTCTGAATTTATGAAATTACACTACCAGATGGACACTGAAGAAACTAATCATTGAATTCTGACTCTAACCTAATTTTTATCTCAGCCTTTTATTAAGACCAAGCCAACTGATCACCATCAGATTAACAATAAGTGATGCATACCCGGTGCTATATGTCAGAACTCAGTTGGTAGAAAGTGCAGGATATCAACTGAATGCTCGTTGAAACCCATAGGTGAGGCATATCTTGATGACTCACGGGTTCTTGCAGATTGCAATCTTCATCACTCAAAAATGGAATCAGAGGCTTTACCAAAGGCGAATTAGGTTGTGACTGTTCACATGTAGAAGTAGGTTGAGCATATAGTGGGAATGACAGCTTCATTAATTCGCATTTGATGACCGATTAGTAAAGCTAAAGAGCATTTTTGAAACCAATGATAGTGCTTTGCTGATGACTGAAGTAATGATCACCTGTTGACTCCCATCCATGGAGTTTTATGTTTGACCACTGCAAGACAGACTTTCCCCATTACATTAAAAAATCATCATAGTGCCTTTGCCAATGGATCTCTTATCTGATAAATATCAGTTAATGTCATCAATTTTGTTGTAGTAGTTTTACAGTCGTTACAGTGATTTTTATCGAAAACGGGGGAATGGCAAGAGATTTTCATATCACTCTGCAAGTAAATTACTTATTAAGGTGGGAAAAATTATTTTTTATAGTGTTTTCCCTACTTTTTTTCAAGCAGATAAAATTTGGTTTAGTTCAGATCATGGTGAATCACTTGATTAAGTACTTTTCAAGACCATCTAGATTTCTGTTTCCAGTCAAGTACTCTCGTGTTGTGTGTATGAAGTATGCAAAAAAGTACCACAAGACTGTCAAAAAGTATTCCATCTTCTCTTCGTAAATATTTAATTCGGTTATTGTAGTCTTTCTAAAAATATGTACCTTCAAGTTGAATAAATATCTACCTGTTTTTTATTCTTTCAGTTTGCATCGAATTCGCACAATCGGCGTGCTGTTGCAGGAGTAAGAATGTGTTGACTTTGGAAACACAGTGAAGCAACGCTATATGAATGGGAGTCCTTTGAACCTCATGTATCGACAAGTGGTCAGATGCCTGCCACTCTATCTTATTGGTATTTATTACATGGTAAATATGAATGGGGTTGACAGACACTATACAAAGATTACGGTGCAGCCCAATCAAACTGTATCTATCTCTTATCACCTTATCTTATGGAAATAAAATTTCCCAAGTGTAATAGTAAAACCTGAGTATTATTGTACAGTGTGATTCGAAACCAAAATAGAAAGGTTTTCAAAGAAAAACCCTGGTATTTTAGTTAGAAGTCAGTGTGAATGAAAGGATAAACATAATATAAAAGGAGTAACAGTACTGTTTAGAATAGTTACCCTTCGCTTGGGACATCCTAGTTTTCATTTCAAGGAATTTGAAATTAAATTAATATAGGTGTAAAACTTAGGCACTGTGGTTGAAATTAATTCCATATTAGATTTGTTTATTTGATTTATAACATACAGTGATCTAGTATTATTTACTTGATGACGTTTGGAGCATAAATTATTGCTCATAATCATATCAATGTAGTCACAGTGCTTTCGACATTTGATTTTTATAGTTACGTCACTTTATATGAGTTGTTTTTATTGGTAGCAAAATTTTCTATATCCCTGGTGTAGGTGTTGCGTCATTCCTATTACATGTGTTGAGTGTTGATTCGATGAACAAAGCTTCAGTAATCAATCTCTCTCCACCTAATTATATCGCACTTAAGTATATTGGCTTTATCCCACCCTATTGTGTGGTTGTGTGTTAAACAGTTCTAAAACTTAATTCCTTAAGCTCTTGAAACCGTATACTTGACCAGTTACTTACAAATTGAATTCATTAACTAGGGAAAAACCCCTCAGCACCTTTCGTACCACAAATGTCTGCATAAACTATAAGCCCTCATCATTGACATTCTGATTTACAAGGTTTGTATACAAGCCAACCATTTTGTCTGGTTGATAAGCCAACGTTCACTTATTCTGTCCTGTGACATTTTACCAATGAAAGAAGATATTCTGCATCAATGAATGATATATATTGCCACAGTATTCAAAGTGTAGGCCGAACTGATGAATCATTTCTAGTGAACATTTAACTCGTCAGAAAACTGATAAATCAACACTTTTTTCAGTTAAATACTCGAAAAACCTTATGTAGTTACACAAATTTTGAAGTTGATTACATTCAAAAACAGTTATTACTATTATCTTACTCTCAATATGCCTGATCCAACTAGCTGAGTAATTTTAAAGTCGGGATTGTGATCAATTAACTGATCATTTCTGTACCATGATAGGGACGGCACTGGTAGACCAACTGCTTGACAGTCCAAAACCAATTCGTTTGCTTCGTCAATACAAGTTGAGGTGAGATGCCTGTTGAGTGAAAAAATAAATGATCCAAAGAGAATAGGATATATAATGAGTATGAGTTTTGTTTTGTACTTCACGTTTCAATATTATAGCAGTATTACGAATAAACGCTCCAATGTTAATCCAGATATCGTTTAGCGCAGCTGGACAGGAAGCTAGACTGGGGTTTCCTTTTTTGGAAGAAATCATATCTCAACGAACTCAAACATTTCAAACATAGAAATGTCGGCTGGATGAACCGTTTTCATTGGTAAGAGATAGATAATATGTTTATTTCTTTAAACCGATGAACATGAGACAGAAAACAGAGATAGCTGAATGTCTGTTGAATGGAGTTTGTACTAGAATGCGAAGTACGTCAGTGAATAACTTCCAAGGTGGGCAAGAGACATAACACCATTAGATTGTCTCTTCCAACTGTATACGGAGTGTCCATAACTCGTAAGACAAATTATGAACCTCCTCATTTCAACTTATCACTCTATCACCAAGTGGTCAACTCACTCATTGAGATCTGCCAAGAAGTAAACCCTTCAATATATTCTTCTCTGTATATTTGGGATCATAACTTTGAATATAATGTGAGTATTTCGTATAACACTATCTTAGCATTTGATATTACACTACACTACTGTTTCCAGACTTTCCATAGTTTGAAAATGTTTGCTATATACGTATACGTACTAAAATGCTATAATCATTTACATTAAGTGTCATGGATGCAACATTTAACACCACGTACTAATGTATCAAAAGCAACTGGATGAATTAAACAAAAAAAGCACAACTGAATAGCACTGAGAAGCTCTTTCTGAAGGAATGAAGCGTTCTATGGTCCATTAATTTTTCTCCTTCCGTAAACCAAATACTTAAATTCTCTAGGAAGCTTGGGTCAAAAGAAATAAACGACCAATTTTTGAGGCTTGTTAACCTAGAGAAATTAAACTTGCTGAAGTATCAACAGGAAACGTGATCAAACCTGTATCTGTTTAATGAAGAAAATGTCAAGCAGACTGTCCAGTTCGAATAAATAAAATAATAATAGTTGAACAAACTGAGATTCATTGTCAAACATTCTTGGAAGACAGAAGGAAACGAACCGCTTGAATTTTCAACGTCTTATTGTCAAATTCTGAGACAGTTTAATCGTAAAGTGAAAATGAAGTAAAGTTGATACGCAAGTAGTTATTTCAAAGTTTGCCCAAGTAAGATCTAACTCGAATAGCCAAATGAAAATTATTGGTTAATTTAAAAGCTCATAAAAGGCTTACTTGATAAACTGAGGTGGTTCACCAAGTTCTGGAACAGGTTTTTGTTCCCTAGCACTCTTAGTTGGTCGAACTGGACTTTCATCAGCTGGTTTTGGACTAATCGGCTCGAGCACTGTTAGTGTACATCTTGTTTCGGCCTTACCATACGGTGTACTAATATGACAGGTGAATATTGCATTATCTTCCGTTAGTGTTTCCGATATTTTTAAACTTGCTGAATCTGGAGTCAAGTTCGATTCATAATCTGGTGTAACCACAGGCAATCCATCCTTGTACCAGGTTACTTGTAACTGATTGACATCAAATGGATTAGCATCTAAAGGGAATAGATAAATAAGAAACATAGTAAATGGAAAATCAAAACTTTTAATCCATATGCATACTTGTACCCTCTAAACTTCTTCCTTACTAAGACTCATTAGTATTTCATTACGGCGTGGTTTACTGTATTTCCTCGAAAGAGGATTAAAACGAACTTCTCATGTGAAACTATAACAGTAAGATAAGTGACAACCCAACAGTGTCTGCAAGAGATATGATAAACTATTTTTCCTACCATGACCTTCTGTAGGTAATATATATCATAAGATTTACAACTCTACTTACTATCTCATAACTGTTATCCAGTTTTCAAAATGGCAATTTGTTACGTTGTTTCATCAACTTTTCAGTCTTGTCTGAGGTATTTTTATTTCATTGGTGTTCTACGGCAGAATAACTAATGTCATTCAGCTTGTTTTTCAGTGATGAACAAATGTTGATGACCAAGCATTCAATGCGACCATTAAGTCAAATGGCTCAATATTTTACACCACTATATTTCTTGTTGAATGGTTGGAAGTAGTTAGTAGGTTATTTTGAACTTAAATATTTCTGCTTTGCATATAATTCACATCTATTTTAGAGTACATGGGGAATCAAGACAGGTTATGGGGTATACTGTCAGTATGAAAGTTATTGGTTTTAGTTTACAAATAATACACATTTTTTACTACTAATATCCATATAATCGTTTTTAGATTTCTTTTATCGGCGACTGATCCATTTAGGGTTTTATTGAGATAACAATCTGATCCTATCAACATAATGGGAACTGTTCAACTTTTCATTACATCGGTTAGCGTCAGCCAACAAAGTGATGCATAACTCTTGAGCTTGAAGCATTATTCACTGGAAAAAAGTTTCTCGTTCAGTATCATAAAATCACACTGCTGGTGGTACATATAAACCTATCTGCATGCGACCAAATAAAAAACAGATAAGCACAGCAAGTGGTCAGAAACGCCACCCATAGGTTTGAGGGGCAAGTTGAGCTAACCGCATCAAGGGGATACTATATATAAATTCTGTTGATATCATCAATAATTTAGCCGAAATGTTTCTAACCGCTTAGATCTGGCTTATCATCTTAAAACTAACTGGTTGTAACAAGAAATGGTGGAATAAAAAAAATTGTATTTATTATTATTGATCAAACACAGTGCTTACCCGGTGGAAGACCTGAATCGAAGTATGTCTCCATAATAATCCTTCTGCCTTCTTCAGTAGTTATATTTTCTAAGGGTTTTGTAATCACTGGTGGTCTCGCTTTCACTGGCATAGTTACGGATGCTGCTCTGATTCGATCATCAGCCACCCACTTGGCTTGTGGTCGTTGTAAATCAATAAACTGTTCTGTTCTGATACGAATCTCATCAGACATTTGATTTAAACTATTTATTGATGTTTGGAATTCACTAATCAGGGGTTGAATTAACTGTTTAGCTTCTGTGGCTTTAAAGGAGAATAAAAAGGAAAACATCGTAAAGATTACTGAATTGCTTATAAGTAGTATCTTCTTTGTTGTCGAATAGTCTTTGGAATGCGTAAAAACTGAACATATAGTCTTATAATGACTCCAAGTTAAGCTGAATGGATACAAATGGGTGGCATACGAAATAATTAACTCAGTATGTCAATCACTTAGGCAAACATCATACTGCCATACAGGTTGCATTATATTAGTGTACTTTATGCACGAAGTCAAACTGCTTGTTTGCCAATCACGTGTTACTATTTTCCTATTCATATCTAATGGGTACATAGCATACATACTTCAGCTATACAGAACCGAGGTATTGTGTTGTCCTATGAATATACAGATGAACTAGTAAAGTATATTTAGAATTCCACAGAATATTGCGTTTACACAAGAACTCATAAGTCAGTAATTTAAATTTCTTTCGTAACCAATATAAGTGTTTTCTTCTAGAGTATCTGTCTGGCTTCCTAATTAATAGTCGTAGTGTGTCAACCCAAGTAAGTACCCTTGAAGTAACTCATATGACGCCACCTTATAAGCCATATCATATAAAAGTAAGAATAATTCAGATCTGACTTGATGGTTCAAAGGATTCAGTGGTGATCGTGAGCTTGAATATCTTGGTTTCAATACAAAGAAGGACTTAAGGATCCTTAAAGCGAATAAAAAACACCTCTAGTACCTAAGTAATTCTTCAATTTTCACTGAAATTCAGTCAAGGTTACTTTAGTAGATAATTTGAACAGAATGTCTGTCAGATAAAATCCCTTTAAAGTAATCAAACTTACTTCGAGGATGCTGAACTGCTAACTGTTCTAAAACTGGTAGATGAGTATCAGCCAACACACGTCCTCGATTAATTTGTTCAGAAATTTCAAAACGAATTTGTTCTGTCTGACTAATATTTTGAACTGAAATCTCTGATATACGATTTTTAACATGATCTAAGTTGAATGTAATTTGCGAGAGAATGCTTTCTGCCGTTTTTACAGCACTCAATAGACGTAGTGTTAAACTAATCTCTGTACGACAGCGTGCAGTTTCTTCTGTGAATGTGGCAAGACGTGTCTCAAGTTGTTCATGACGACGTTTTGTAGCATCCATTAAGTCAATGTTAGCACCAGCGTATTCATTCGGTGATGGTTCGCCTTGAATTAGTTGCAGTTTAATATCTGGTGCACTTGAATGTATACGACTACGTAAAACCTAACCAGAGAATTAGAGAAAAAGATGAAAATGAAGCATTTCTCACTAGAGATTTATAGGTAAATTTTCGATCGAACAATATTTTACACCTCAACTCAATGAAATAACGATAACAGTATCAATGAGATTAAAATTATGTTGTAGAATGTTCCTCAACAGTGACTCCACGAAAGGTTTTAACATGTCTTATTGATCAGTGCTAACAACGGAAAAACGTAAGTTGAAAACATTTTACCAATAATCTTTGACCATTTGAACAGATTCACATATGGCTTAGTGAAAAGTTGAATCACTTGACTGATAGAGTTCAATAGTCTCTGAATATGAAGGGTATGGGCTAAGTCATTCTCCAGTAACAAACAACCTTATACACTGGTTCATTTAAACATGCACCGCAGTAGATAGCTAGGATACTAGTTCAGTTAAACAAAGTGATCTGGAACAGATCTTTAAGAAGCAGGGATATTAATGATACTTTCGCACTCAGGTGATAAAGAATAAAATCTATGTCATAACCATCGGAACTAGGGAGTCACTAGGGTACCGATAGAAGCATAGATAGTATTTAATAATATTTTTGACAAAATAATTATTTGAAATTAGCTTTGACATTTGAAAAATGTCATTTGTATCCCACCTCTTACTGATTTAGGTATCTATACAGAATTATTAACAAATGAGGTACCATGAACATTTTACAGTCACTTTTAATACTTTATTATTCACCAATATAAAGTAATACTACTTTTGGCAATTGTTTCGGGAAATTAAGCTCAAACTTCAATTTTCTGATTGTACGTTTTACTCTCTAATAGGGCTTCAACGCTAGATACTAGAAGGTAGTTGAGAGACCAAAGTACTGAAGTAACAAATTCAGTGACTTCTTTACTAACTGACAATCACTCAAATATCCTTTTTTTATCATGAGTTTCTCCTGGACTTCAAATAGACTTTGTTTATGACTGCCAGTAATTATCGAAACTAGACAGTGTCATGTCATCTGGCCTAATGACTAGATTGTAAACATGATAGGTAGATTTCAGTTAGCAGAAAAATGGTACAACAACATTCGTTACCATACTGTGACCACTTTATAAGTTTCAAAATAAACCATTCATCTTAACATACTTTAAGGGTTCAAGTCTAAAAGGTTATGAAAGCGTGTATATTATAAAGTTTAAAACTTGTCACTTAGAGTTCCATGTGTAAACTCAGAGATAAATTTATAAATTAGAGTTTGAACAATACTCCAGGTTATTACTACCTATATTACAAGAAGTTCTTTCAAATATTTTGTTTAAAATTCACCTGCAAAATAACACATATATCAGCTTTCTGCTGTGCAGATCAACTGCAGTAAAGCGATAGAATAGATAATACAAAATCAGGTTTAACTGTTTAGTTCAAATCAATTTTTATCCAAACGTAAACATTGAAAATAAGCAGTTAATATAAGAAAAGTAAATCAATATGTTATTGTCATCCACCTTATAGTTCAGTGAAGCTTTATAGGAATGAGACAAAAGTAAAACAGATTTAGTACACGAATATTAAAGAACAGCTAAGAGTTTGCTGTACCAACAACACAAAACCTGGCGTCCTGAAACTATGGCTGATCTAGGTTTTCTACAACTTCTATAACTGTAAGAAGACATATAAGTGAACAATATTGTTTCCAACTAGATTTTCTTAAATTTGAATCGAATATGAATAGCGTTTAGCATGCACAAACTAATCAAGGTCAGCCAACAATAATAAGGATCCAGACAATGCATTTTCGAATATTGAGAATGGCAAGAGGATCTAAACAGATGTTCAGCCAGAAGAAGTAGATCATGATTCAGACAAAGACAATAAGGTTGCGTAATACTGAAGTTTGAAGACAGTGGACAAATAAATTGGTGCTAAAAAACTCAGTATAAGGGTCCAAGGTCTGTTGATTATCTCTTCCAGTTACCTAATATCAGCAACAACATGGTACAATGTTAAATCAGTTAGCCCGGAAACAGTTTTTTAAAAGTGATGGGTGGAATTCAACCAACCTCGCCTGGTTAACTAGTTCACTAGTTACTAACCGGTCCTAAGCCCACATAAAGAGGGAAGTTTGGGCATACGGCTAGCAACCCTACCCCGCAAAACAAATCCAACCGCTAAACAAACTTCAAAGCACAAACAAAATATAAAAAATAATAACAAAATTATTCCTCGCTGGAATCGGAGAGGCGAAATGATGCCAGTTGCTGAAAGCCTTCGGGAAGCCAATTGGCCAATGTGTCTCCTCTTCTCGCGATGAAAGCGAAAGTAAACGTGGGGACATGGAATGTCCGATCAATATTTGAACCCAGCAAGACAGCCCAGATTGCAAACGAGATGAGAAGGTATCACATCGAAGTGCTTGGAATTTGCGAAAGCAGATGGAATGGGAGTGGACTCCAAACTGTCAACTGGAGAATCAATAATCTACTCCGATATTGTCACCCAGACGACAACCACGAGCACAGCACACTGAGTTTTCGAGTGGCTATCATGATGTCCCCTTGAAGAGCATCGAAGGCTCTCTCTCATGCAGTGGGAACCAATCTCCTCCAGCATCGGGATCATGACAGCAAGATTCAACTCAAAAGGAAGGAAGGAAGGTCACAATCACACAATACCATGCTATGCACCTAAAAATAATGCAGAGCAAGAGAAGAAGTAGAATTCTACAGACAACTTCAATCAACACTGGACAAGGCCTCAGTTGGCTACATCAGAATTCTAATGGGTGTGGCGACATGAATGCCAAATTGGGAGGGACAACACAAGAAGAGAACAAACATGGGTCAAGAAGCACTCGGTGAAATAAATGAGAACGGAAAAACTGTTTGCAGAATTCCTTGCATTCAACGATTTGGTGATTGGAGGTGAGGCAGTGTGTTCAAGCACAAGGATATCCACAAAGCAGCGACATGGATTTCGCCAGACACCACTACACACTAAAAATCAAATCGACTTCATCTCAATCTGAAGGAAGTGGAGACACAGTCAGCCTACTTGACACAAGGTCAAGAAGAGGAGCAGATGTAGGTTCACACCACTCACTGTCTAGTGCAAGGAACCTACCTTCCAAATCAAGTTGAAAGCCTTCAAGGAAGCTGGTGATAGACGACCACAGTTCAAGTACAACACTCGGAACAGAAACTGAAGGACGAAACTACAAAGGAAATCTTCACGTCAGCCAGCCATCAAGACAAAATGGGAGATATCGAGGAACATCCCTGAAGAAAGCTGTGTGGAGGAACACTGGAAGTCTTTGAAAGAGGTGTGGAAAGAAACCTGCACAACCGTATTACGAAGGAAGAAGAAAGAAGATAATGAGTGGAATGTATCTCGATGGACACATGGAAGCTGATAGAGGAGGGAGAGGAGGATGGTGAAGTAGAAGATAAACCAGTGTAGGGATGCACAATGGAAAGGCGACCTGAGTACAACGTACAAAACACTACACTGGACAAAGAAGTGAAGAAGAGTGCACGCAAAGACAAAAGACACTTCTACGAAACACTGGCAAGTGAAGTAGGACAGGCTGCAGGTAGGAGAGACACAGACCTGACAACATTGTATCAAATAACCAGGTTACTATCTGGGAGGGCAGAGATCAACGCAGATGAAACCAATGTAAGATGGTGACGGAAATTTAATTACGAAAGAAGAGAACCTGAGGAATCGATGGGCCGACCACTTCAAGAAGCTCTTGAATCGACCACCACCACCATCAACTGCAACTCGTCCAGAAATACCACCTACAACCGCTGAACTACCAGCGAACACAAATCCTCCAACAAAAATGGAAGTTCTGAACACCATAAAGCTTCTGAAATGAGGGAAAGCAGCAGGACCAGATGGAATCCCACCAGAAGCATTGAAAACAGATACAGAGACAACAGCAAACATGCTCACACCACACCACTATTGCAGAAGGTGTGGAAGGAAGAGAAGGTACCTGGCTGGTGATTGGAAGAAGGGTTACCTTGTCAAACTGCCGAAGAAGGGAGACCTCAGTGTTTGCAAGAACTGGCGTGGAATCACTCTCCTGTCCACTCAGAGCAAGCAAAATACTAGGCCGCATCATCCTAGAGAGGCTGAAGGATGCACTGGATTTAAAACCACGCCCAGAACAGGCAGGCAGACAGGCTTCAGCAAGTACAAATCATATGCGGACCAAATTGCATCGCTACACTACGCATCATCATAGAACAGAGTATAGAATGGCAATCAACTCAACTCTCGAACTCAACTTCATCGACTTTGAGAAGGCCTTTGACAGCGTCGACCGAGAGACAATTTGGAAACTGCTTCGATACTACGGAATACCACAAACCTTTATCAGCCTCATTCAACAACAGCTATATAAAGACGCCACATACCAGCCAAGTAATTCACAATGCGAAGCTCAGCGATACTTTTGAAGTGAAGACAGGAGTAAAACAAGGTTGCCCCCCCCCCACTATCACCCATGATATTCCTGATTGTGGTCGACTGGATCATGCAGCTGACAACAGTGGGGAGCGAGAAGAGGGGGATACGCTGGCTGGACTGCGGAAAAGAACCTAGAAGATCTGGATTTCGCCAATGACTTGTATCTGATGTCACACAAACTGGAAGATCGACAGGCGAAAAGTAACAAGTTGGCAGAACAGGTGAGGTGAGGTGAGGTGAAGACGGGACTTCAAGTGGATATAGAGAAGACAGAGGTGATGGAGATACCGCACCAACAACTCCAACAACAACAACAACAACAACAAACTCCAATCACCATCAACGGGAGGAACTTGAAGGAAGTAACCTCCTTCACCTATCTAGGCAGCACTGTCTCAACTACAGGTGGCACAGGCACAGACGAGGATGTCAAAGTCAGCCAGGATCGGGAAAGCAAGACAGGCGTTCATTAGCCTGAAATCAGTGTGGAGATGTTCTGCACTCCACTCCACTCAGCATGTGGAACAAGATGCCGATTTTCAACACCAACTTCAGTGAAGTCAGTGCTCCTGTATGGTTGAGAGACTTGGCCGGTTACCAAAGGCATTTCCAACAAACAACTGCAGACATTCATCAACAACTGCCTACGCTGGCTCGCTACTGACACTGAAGATCAATCAGATGGCCAGAATGATAAGAATAAGCAACAAGAAACTCTGGCTGACTGGCAACGAACCAAGCAAGAAGCTATCGCTGAACAAATATGCAGTGTGAGAAGAAGTGGATATGGATTGGATTGGGCATAGATTGAGAAGGCCGACTGGGGACACCAAGCGTCAGGCGAAGCCGTCGAGTGGAACTTCGATGGGAAGTGACGAGTTTGGCGTCCGTGGTGAGGGTGACATGGAGGAGATCGTGGGAGGAGGAAATGAGAGGTTGTGTGTTGTCGTGTAGCCAGGTTGAAAAGATTTCAGAGAAGAGAGTGGGATGGAGACATGCTAGTGAAGCCTTATGTTCCATTAGGAATCCAAGGGACTAATAAAAATCACAAAAATAATAGAACTCAATCACCAAAGTAGTGTAAGGATATACTATTCACCACTGACCAGTAATATCTATAAATTAAACTTACAGGTACTGTGGCTTCAATTTGACTGAGATCTCTGTCAGCCATTTGAACTTGAGAAATTGGAGCAGTCAATGAAACCATGCCCATGATTTGCTTTAACTTCCTCTCGGCCATAACTATTTCTTCTTCGATTTCCTTCAAATTAAATTATTTTTTAAAAATACACATGAGAATTTCAGAAAACCTTCAGGAGAAGGTATTAACTTGCATTCCGAGGAGTTGAAGTAAAAAAAAAGAATAAATAGCATAATAAATATAACTTTGAGAACATGACTTTTTCTCTTAGTGAACAATTGTCAGATGGTATGCTGTGAAGCATAAAATAGCGGAGGAGCAAGCCTCTCACCAATACAATTACCAGAAGTGTTGGAAAGATGTGATATTTTAAAAGCTATTGAAATAATGAATGTACACAATTTATCAATATGACACAATTTCAAATGGAATTTTTCCTCAAGAAAAAATTGCCATGATTCTTATAGTTTTCTGCGTAACTATATTTCATCCCGATGTCATGTCTCTTGAACTGCATTTAGTTAGTGATTTTAAGTCATCAATTTAATTTCATTCTTGTACTCCTTATTCTTTACAAGTAATACATGGACTCTTTTCCTCAAGTAATGAACTTTTATCTTGTAATCCCTTTTCCTACTTCACAGCTCTTGAATTTTTCTCCTGATGACATAAATTAACAGTAAATCTAAATTGAGATTAGTGACTTTGTATTCCGTATTTTCTGGAATTGCTAGCATACTTTGATTTTAAGACCATCTGACTATGCTCCGAGGTCAAAGTATTTTGTTTAAACGGTAGTTTTCATTATGAACTGATGCCAGGTAGGATACTAATGAAAAGTAAAAGGAACTGAATATCTGCTCCAGCTGATGAGTCCCGAACAGGACGAAACGTGCGTCCTGGATTCCTCTGGTAGTCACCAAGATCAGTACAGCCATTCTATTTCGGTTTGCGACTCCTGCCCGAAGAGGATTCAAGTCGAGAACATTCAAACACTGGTTTATTAAAGTCTCTGTGCAGCCTGTGAGATGAAATTCGAATTCCTTCTAGCAGAAATTGATGTGAATGATATAAAAATGCATTATCGAAATCCCCCTGGGAAGACATGACAAAGTGATTAATGAGGATGAATACTAACTGGTAGAACTGGATTGTGAGAACGCTGCATTGCGAACAGAGTAAAAAGGGGAAAATATAAGCTATCGGATTCTAAACGAGTGACTTCAGTGCGCCATGTTGTCATGACGATTCAACGTCCCTTAAACAGGATGGTCAGTATGCAAATTATTTACAAGTTGTGCGGTCCACGTTGAAATTCCTCACAGGTGATTAGCTTTACAGCTGCCCACTTGTGGTGTCAACAGGGTTTCCATGGGAAATAACTTGGACAAGATCCCAAAGTGTGATATCTAACATAAAAGTATCATGAACTAAAAAAATATACAGTTGAACAACATTAGTTAGAAACCACTTCGGCTGATCTGCAGATTTCACTAACTAAATCGGAGTGACCTGATGAGCTTAGCCGGAAACGACTGAGGCGACCATCCAGTATTTAGATCACTCTGATCTAGCTAACAAAATCTACATATCAGCATGACTGTTTTCCAACGTCTCATGTTATTCACCAGTACTATATTCAAAGTTCCTGCACCGGCTTTTGTGCCTGGTTAAAGATACTGGCTTCTAAAGAGCTCGATAACTCAGTGAAAAAGTTATTCACTACTACCTGATTTTCTCTAGCTGATGTCAACCAGTATTGAAAACTACCTAAAGATTAACTATCTCCTCTCAAAACATTTGGTTGTACAATATTTTATTTCATTACAGTAATAGTGGTTGAAAGTCCTTGTTGTTTGTATTTGAAAAGAATTTATAAAATTACAACAATAATTTTATGTTGCATATCTTTTATGGAACTGGTTAACTGACCGACTGTTTCCAGTTTACCTAGTTTTAAAATTTCTGCGGTTCTTCTCCACACTCCACAGCTAAAAAGTGATCAGTTTTCAATGCTGTGCAACTTCATATCAGACACTTTGCTTGAATGATAAACAGAACATTATAAAATAGTACTACTTTATGATGTACAGTGAATAGAATTTTTGATCGCCATTATTTATTCCCATTATTGTAAGCATTGTGCTTGGTCAGTCAACAAAAGCATCACTTGCAATACAAGTTAACAACCTTCCAGTGATTTCTTACTGATGTACACTCAAGAAATATTCATTTTACGGTATTTTACCTGAATTGAAGCGGTTAAGAAACGGTAACACAACTAAGTTTAGTATGGCATTTATTTATCAATGAGATAAGCCTAATTAATACAGTTAAACCTTAATTTCTCCAAAGGGCAAATTAAAAATGCCAATTTGAACCACTTCTAAACGTGAATCAATAATAAATTAGAGTCACATGACTCTTTTTGATAAAAGCTGTTACCTCTATGGTCGATAAATGTCCAAAATGTGTACTACGTCTTTCCAACTGTATACTCCTTGATGTCCATGCTTTATCCCACGCTTTCCATCTAGTCTCTAGTCCGGCTAGTCGTAGGCACATTTCAGAACGGATACGTTTCCCCATATTTGAAGAGGCTAATCCAGCATTCAACCCATCAACAGATTCTATAAATCGCCAACCTTGTCCAGTATGATCTCGATCATCTGGTTTAACGCCAATCATTGCACCTAACTGTTGAGCTTTTGTCTTCAAATTCAGCGTTAACTGATCAATTTCATTGCGCTCATTATGATGCATTCTCAACGCTTCAGAAAGTTCGTAAGGTTGATTGGGTAGAGGTGTTCGTGACATACGTGAAAGTGATGATGTGATTGTTTCATCCAACTATGAAATTTTTCAAAAAAAGATTTGAGAAAAATTATTTGGCAAATATAACCATTATCATGAGTGTGATAGCGAAAATGCCATATCATGTTTAATCTTAAAGTGTGTAGTTATCAAACCTACTAAAAAAGCAAATTTTGTTTACAAATTACCAATAAACAACACCTTCCATATCTTCGGCAGCTAACTAGTGTAATGGAGTGTATGCTTGGCGGATTTCCGTCCCAAACCATCCTATCAAGACCACAGGTTGTCGGCTAAATTACAGGAAACTCACTGATTGCCGAAATGTAGTACTATTCACTGCCTCCATACTCATACTAACCTCGAGATACAGCTAGCCAGATAATATGATATACATTATTGAAGTATGACTGAAGTTGAGTCAAGAGTTGATTAAAAATGTAGATACTGACTATTAGAATTCAAATCACCAATTCAGATATATGGTGATCTACTTAGTGGTTTACGATATTGGATTTATTTTTGAGAAGTACAAATTTTTGAAGCGTTTCACTAGACGATAAAGTACCTGCCTATCATTTATTGATTCCAAACAGCATATAACTTATTACTTACAGTGTGAGCTGTTTCTGTGAATACAGTCCATTGTTCTTGTGCAAGTTTATACTGGTCCCAAAACTGTTGGCAGTTGTCCCATGAATCACGCAAATGAATAAGACGTTTATTATTTAACTCCAACTGGACTTGGCAGTAATGAACAGTTTCAGCTATTTGTAAATCTTGATCTGCTCTTTGAGTAATCTACAAAATACAACATGTTAATATCTCAAATGAGTGATTTATTCACCTATCCATTTCAAAAAATCGTAACCCGTTTAAAAAAGGATAAAATATGGGGTTTTGCACGTACAAAAGCCTCTACTCCATTTCTGTATCACTCAACTCATTGATTTTAAACTGGTACTCATCATGGACTAATATCAGTTGGAACGCCATTGGAAGCATGAAAGCACTGTACAGCTGCTTCGTCCTAGTGTGGGGCTACTCAGCAGTTCACACTTATGACTCCGCCCTCCAGGGGACGAACCCAGGATCATGTTCCGCAGCCAGTACATTACCATTGGGCTATTGGGTTGGAATCCATTGGTCTGTATTTCCTACTTCTGTTAGTTCACGATATAGCGCGACCCACATCAAGTCCCGTAACTGAGTGACTGATCTCATGTTCGACTAGGTTGGCTCCACCGATCACGACGTCTCATTAGAACTTCAGAAATTACCTCTTGAAGCTAGTCACCAAAAAGCACTATGTTAGTTCAATTTGGAGGCTTTTAGAGATTTACTTATATACTTCAGGTTGGTATTCATCATAGACTGACATCAGCTGGAGAAACATTGGACACTGGACAGCTGTTTCGTTCTGGTATATGACTCCTCACCAGTGCCCACCCATGACCCTGCTAGGGATCAACTATGTCAATGTTTATTCACACGCAGATTGATTGAAGAGAATTCATTTTATGCTTAAATCAAGATGATCCATTCAACAGTACATAATGATGTAATCTAGGGAAAAATTGAAGGCTGTTTATTGAGTCAACACGTAATACATGCAACAGGAATAACTCAACACCTGTTGCGGAAATATGGAAAATCCTACGATCCATATCACAAAGGTGGTGATGAAATTACAACTTTATAAAGCATGTCTCAAGGTTATGTAGTTATGTTGATATGAGTAGGGACAATAAATTATGTCCGAAACGTAATCCAGTAAATAATCCTGTTCCAATATGTGATAAATCTAATAAATCAATTAAAATGGAATTATATCCTACCAAAGTGACGTTTTATTGGACATGTTCGTCAGGAATATGATGACGGGTTTTTCGGTGGAAGTAGTCAGATTTTATATTTCTTTGCAGATGTCATACGGGTCCACTTGAAACCTGAAGAAAATCTTGTTTTCTACAGTGTTCAAACTCATGACTTACTGATTGTTCACTAATTACTTCAAAACATTTATTGGTCCACTAATTTTTTCCACTGAGATCGGTTTACTAAATTTCAGCTAAACGAAATTACTGACTTCAGTAACTTAACTGTAAAGTTTCAGACATAAGATGTGAGCGGTAAAGGTTTATGGTTCTAACCTGTCATAAAGTCCCTCAAATTCCCAGATAAACCTTACTCATAAGTGCCGACATCTATGTAGAGTTGTTACACATCTTGTACGCTGAACCAAGACCCTTACATTCGTCTCTATACATGTATCCGAAATCTGATTAGCAAGTTTATATACTTACATGATCAATAAACTGACGAATTAATATTTGCTCTTCTTCTAGGTGACTCGTGGTCATATTCAGTTCGCTACGTATGCGTTCAGCTGCTTGTGGTGCTTCTGTAGAACCAACTATCCAACTTGGATGGAAATCTAAACCTGTTGTTGTTAGTTTCATTTTATCGGCTTCATTCATCTTCTGAACTGTCATATTATACTGATAATCATCTTCACGTATGCGTCTCAATATTGATGAAAAGTGATTGGCTAATTCTAGACGCAACTGAATTATTTGTCTGTAACGTGTCCAACAAGATGTTAATTCATTTAAACGATCCTGTTTAAAAAGGGAAGAAAGAAATGAATAAAAAAGAGGCATTAAGCTTAATTTGGCGATTATTATTCGTAGCATAAACAGTAATTAAAGAGTCTTTATATTTGAATACTAGAAGCTAAAAAGAAACGAAGAGTACCAAATAGTCAGTCAAATATTAGTCTAATGGGATTGGGGCGCACGATATTGTCGCTCGAATGACCCTCAGCTACCTTGAGAGTGCTTTCACTAGGTCAGTCAACAACCAATCATGATAAAGTGAGTGAGACGGTCACCCATATACTAATACCAATCTTACACAAGACCAGAAATAAATTAGGTTTATACGTAGTTTATCTAAAAAGGAACTTGATATAAACTATGGTTGAAAATTTAGACAAAATATTGCCCCGTGCCTAAGAATTTAAGAAGTAGACTTATATCAGTGTTGGGAAATACAGATTTTCTCTCAGAAAACCTACTGTGTATCAAGTAGAAGTATTTTATCGGTGTATCATTTCACTTTATTATTATTGCGTACTATAAGGCTCAACAAACATCATAATTACGATAAACAAATACACTAACAGATTATTGAAATCCTTATACTGACTCTCTCATCAATGTTGTGGTGACTGATTTAAACAGCGTGTATTTCTGGTCTGCCGCTGTTGATTTCCATAGCAGCTGGTAAATTCATTAGCATTATCTGCCTTCCATCACAATTATTAAGTGTAAGTAGCTAAGACAGGGGAGTTACTTAAGGCTTTTCATAATCAGATAGCAGCGGCCTGATATCTCAGTCTGTAACAATTCGTTCAACCATTAACTCTTTCCAAACAACTTTAAGATATAGACTAAACTTAAAACCAACTAGTGGGTCTAGAATATTGTTTTTAAGACGAGAAATACCATCTATACGCTCATAAGTAGATAGGTATTCAGAAGATAAATACTTATCATTCTGAACATTATCCTAGTCAAATTAGAAACGATAATATACATTTCCATGAGAAATGGATAACTGTGAATATTGTAGTCGGGTGAATGAACTCCTAAAGTGCAATTAATATCTTTCAATAGAAAAAGAAACTCCTTTCAATGGGAAGCATGAAAAACGCTACTGAATATTTTGCTTTATCTACTGTTTAGTAAGGGTAACAATTGAACTCATCGAAACAGTAGATTTATTTAAACTGAAATAAATGTATTACATAAAACATGAAAATCTTAACGTGTGACGTTTCCTTAACTGAAAGCCCTAGTCATCAGATTAAACTGACTTGTTAACCTTTACAAAATGAACTTTAGAAATCAGTGGGCAGTGAAATTCATGAACATATGTCTTAATGACCATGGATAACGTTGGTTGTTTCCATAGTTGCCATGTCACTGCATGCAAATTTTATTGGCTGGCTTTTAAGGTAGTTTGTAATATGTACCATAAAAGAAAGCTTAAAATGCCAAGGAACTTCAATGAACAAAACAAAAAATTTACTCGTGAAGTTGATTTTCCAGCCGTTGGTGACAGTCGACTAATAGCAATTCTCAATTCTTCTAATTCAGGTTCTCTGGACTGTAATTCCCGTTCAAGACGACGGTGTACATCTTCAAAATCTGCTACTTGTTCAAGTGTTGTACCTGATCTTCCATATTGCACAAGTGAATGGTAAATTCGTTGGCTTAGCCACATGCTCAACTAGAAAACAATTGGAGGGAAAACAGTAGCATATTAAACTTATACCATTTCATTAGAACCTGATAAAATATTTGGTGATAATCTTATACTGGTTATGGGTTATAAAGGTCTAAACAGTTAGTTTAATTCGCTGGTATTCACCGTAAATATTCATAGAAGATTTTACTTCATTATACCACAACATATAAGCTCCTCATATTACACTTAATCATTTGACAATTAATTTCGGTAAGTGTAATCTGTACTTCACAACATTGATTCACAAAAGTTGGATACAAGATTAGCAGCAGCCTAGTATGCACACACCCTTGGTTAAAAGTAGCCGAAAAGTTCTTGTCTCTGGTCAATAGTGTTCATGAATGCTGACATATGAAACTTTCGTTAGAATATGAGAAGCAAAGTCGCATAGGCTAATCTTATCGTGGTCGCGCCGTTAGACCTGTTGTGGAAAATGTGGTACACAAGGCATTCATGTGGTTAGTTTTGCCCCCTGTTTGTGTAATCTTGTTTCTCTAAACTGAAGATTTTAGACAAATTCGCATTTTTAATAACCACTGTAGTCCTAGAATTTGTGATGTCCTTTGGAAACACTATATAAGTAACTCTGAGATCAAGTAATGTCTGCTCGAACGTGATGTAGTTTATCATTGATTGAGTAATGTTAACTTAGAACATTATTTTCAGCGAACATGTGTCACGAATTCGGTAACAGTGACTCCTTTACTGTCCACAGCTAGTTTGCCCTAAGACGGCGGCATAGTTTAGATGAGAGATGATTGAATTATCTTCCCCAGATGCATCACAAACCCCTAAATGTTGTCCAATAGATCATGTGAATCCGTAACTCAAGACGTTACAAAATGTGGATTACAGTAACAACCTACGATGGCCATGTTACAGACTATTTATCTTTTCTTAATCTCAAGGTAAAAAGTAAGTAATGAACGTTTCCTTGAATGTATTCTTCAGAATGCCACTTTCAGAAATCGTTTACTTTGTTGTTTTCGTTTTCCTTCCCTTCCCTCTATATCACTTTTGTGTATTCTTAATCTCTTGACATTATTTTATGTGGCGGTTTTTTTATTTCAATGTTGTACAAATGTTATATCTCTCCAGAAAATTCACTTTAATGAAGATATTTTAAGTAATAAGGGAAATGAAAACATTATCACTTACTTCATTCAATCGAAATTCTGTTTCTTCACGTTTCTGAATTTTGATATTGAATTCTTTGTGTTTATTCAGCAGATCACGACATCTGGCTATGCCTTCATCAACTTCACGCATTTTATTGGTTACTGAACTCGCTGCTGTTGGGGTGAGATCGAATTCATAAGTGGTCGGTTGTATTTGAATACCCATTTGTACTCTTAAACTAGATGTTTTAGCTGGTTGACTGTAACTAGTTCGTAATTCATTCATTGTTTGTCGTAATCCCGGAACACGCACTTCTAAGTCAGTCAGTCGATTGTAATAGATTTCTTCTAGTCCAGTCTGTTGAAGGTCTCTTGTCTTTTTCATGTCTGACTCAAGTTGATAAATTTGACTAAGTAACTGAAAAAGTAAAAGGAATTGGAAATTATGTTGTTATTTTGAAAGTGAATTAAATACATGTTTAGAAAAAGTCCATTGAAATACCCTAGACATTTCTTTGTGTCTTGATGGACTTCTTACAGAAGACTCAGTGAATGACTAAGAATTATCCTCATATATTTGCAGTTAATTTCTAAAGAAGTCATAAATCTCAGTTCCAGGCTTCTCAACATTTACATTCAAGGCTTTTCGTCAACCTCCGGGAACCTGATGCATATCAAATGTAACTTGTTTAGTTTGAAATCAGCCACATTAGAGCTACTTTTTAACTACAATCTGTTCAAAACGACCAGTTAGGATACACTTACATAAATTAGTTTAATCTTGAATACACATCAGCCATTTATATTTGGGCAACTTTCGATTTGGTATGCTGAAACTCAGTTGTAACAGCAGTTCTTCACTAAATTACTAAATTTAAATACTTCTTCAAACAGAAGTGGTTTGTTTGGCAAAAAATATTTTGAAAGCCAAAATTAATTAAAACAAGCCACAACTGCGAAAAGAGAGATTCAACAAAGTCATAAATTTCAGTAGAACTCGTCAGCTGGATACTGTACTCACTTGACTATATGTATTCAAAAAGCTTGATCAACAAGCATGCAAAATGGGATGAAAATAATAGCCTCAAAGGTACAGAAAAACCTAGTCTATTTCATTTTACCACTTTAAGGTAGTGAATTGCTAGAGGTAGTTAAGCAGAGACTGGAAAAGTTCGTCAGAAGAACCTGCTGTGTAGCCAAGTTCATGCTCGTCAGTACCACAGAATAGATGTAGCAACAACCATGGAAAGATATGGCTCCATCCTTAACACATCTGAATGCATATATCAGTTCGAATTTATCTGCAGAAGTAAATAAATAGATCGTACCGACAGGCATCTGTCTATTCAAACGGTTGAGCACCTACTTAAATGACTATGGCGTGTAGAAGAAGAACCTTGAGAAGCTGGAGAAGAAAACAATTAATTAACTGGAAGCATGATAAGGCCATCACAATTGTCAGTAGACAGAAGAATAAAACACTTGCAGTTGTAGAAGCTTGAGTGATTAAGGTTGTCACTCCAAACCTCTATCTTCAGAAAGAAATGGTAGTTAGCTTGAATCTATCATGGTGTCAATTGTAGTATCATCTAATCATATTTACTTTCCCTACTTGCCCTGTGCCTTCAATTATTATCCGGTTTTTGTTCCTGATCTGTTTCATGACCTTGTTCCTATTACCACTTTTATCATTATTATTTATCTGAATACATAACTGGTTTTCTTATGATATAGTCTTACGTGATAATTAACTACACTGTTCACAGTGATGTAATCTACCTTCAACCAATTCAGTTCTCAGCCTACTGTCAACAATATTTTTGTTATTATTATTTTTCCATTCGAAATCTACATGTTTCTTTAGACTGCATTACTATCCAAATTCATATTAGATTACGCAATTTGCCTTCGACCTATTCAATTTGAACATCTACTCCTAGCTTTTTCATTACCACCTGATTTGTAAAAATTGTTCATTTCTGTCTCAGTTTTCGCTATATTCTCTTGTATTGCCTAGTCAGTTATGTACAGTATCCAACTGACGAGTTCTATTGAAACTTTTAAATTCATTAAATTCTACTATTTTCACATTCATGGCTTCTCTTAAGTTTGTATCGGGAAACAAATATTGTAATAATAAATTACTCTGAAAGCGCCTTTTCAGCAGTGCACACTTTTTGGCTCCGTAGTAGGACAGGTTTACGCACCTTTATTATCATGATGACCAAACTTTATGTCTAGCTACTCGCTTGAATTTTGATGTTCTTTATAGTCTGAATTTATTTTCTTCGCAACAATATCTCACCTTTCACTAGTAGTCACAGTTTTTGTCATAAACAACTACAATATAAAAGGTTTGATTTATTTCCTCATCTAATTCCATTATGAAAGGGTATCCTCTGTACTCTTTAAAAACGTAAAATAGAATTAATTAAGAGGATAGAATAAAATAGTGATAGTAATGGCTTACCACATTAATTTCACTATAATAAATAACACTTGTATGCAGTTGACGTCTTCTACTCTCAATCCTTTCCAGAAACTCCCAAATATAGGACTCCGTAGTTCTTAATCGAGTAATCAGTTCAGAATAAGCTCCATGAGTTACACGCCATGTATCTGAACTATGAACACTTCTCATTTCAGTTTCATTGTCCACATCCATACTGACGGGTAAAGAATGAAGACCCAATTCTTGTTCTTGTAACGAAGGATCTCTGACACACTTTTCTCGCGTCTTCTACGCCAAGAATCAGTGGTTGTCGCTTGATGTAAATGTTGCAGCAGGCGTGAGTGTGCACTTTGTAAGTCACGTACTTCATCGGCAAGAGTCATTAGTATATCCAAATTGGTTGACATTCAGATAAGCTTGTTCCAACTTGTATGTCTGAGAAACGAGGTTCACCAACCTAAAAAGAATACACAAAGGTAATACTGAAAAGTTTATACTGAAAATAGTTATTTCCAAAGTATGAATTTGGTGTGTGGCTTATGACTAAATCACAAGTTTAAACAAAAAGGAACAGAAGTAAGTTGTAACTACAAAATTTGCTTAAACAGGGGGTTTAATTTGAAAATGTTTCAAAGCAACCGGTTTAATGAGATGACTCCTAAATTGAGAGAAGCAACATCTTTTCAGAATAACTTAAAATATTTTGTGAGTATCTGAAAAACATATAACTTTCCGTTTCGTTAAAGTAGACAGACAAGCCAGTATTATAGTCTACATACAAAGTGAATGGAGTTAGTGAAGGAAAAGAAACTAGTTAATAATCTACTTAGTAAATATGAGTTGCTGCTTCTCATATATCGTCGATAAAATCATCTCAGAGATCGTAATTCCCCGTTTAACCGGCAAAGCATAGAACTGATAGTTTAAAGACCGCTACTAAGAATTAAGTTTTGATTCTTGCCTGGTTGCAGTCAAAGTTATGATTACTACTACTACTACTACTACTACTACTACTACTACTACTACTACTACTACTACTACTACTACTACTACTACTACTACTACTACTACTACTACTACCACTACTACTACTACTACTACTACTACCACTACTACTACTACTACTACCACTACTACTACTACTACCATTACTACTACTACCACTACCACTAATACAAATACAAATACTACTACCACTTGCTTCAACTAGGCAAGACACTTTGTAAACTCACTAATATTTCCACTTTTGAATATTTATGATGTTTTATCAGTAAGCATTAATAGCTCCTTGGAATACATTTTCAGCAGATACAATTTCTTGTCTCAACACTTTTTCTTGAGGAATAGGTCACTTGCTCATACGTGCTATCTCTCTTGATCCCAAAAACTTACTTTTTTGTTAAACTTCAGAAATTAGTTTTGGCGGTCAGATAATCCGACTACCAATACACCAAGTAGCCGCATATATTCTACTGCCCACCATCATTTGCAAAATGATATCCACTACGTATTGCAATCAGTATGTCTTTATGAATCAGTATTCTGTATCAGTTTGACTACAACTAGGCTTTTGCATCTTAATCCCTCTATACATGATTTCGTGTTAAACAACACTAACCTGGTCATGTGGCACTTAGCCGACATACTTTGGTTCATATATAATCAGTTTCCCGTAAATTTTAATTAGTTCTTAAACGTTCAGTAGATCACAGTCGAAATAAAGAAGCACTTACCTTCACAAACCAATCAACGATGCGTTCTAACTCTGCTTCCATAGAGACTACGGCTAGTCTTAAATGAAGTAAATGATCACGACGACTCATACATCTTCAGCATGTCGTCTAGCCATTCCTGCTTTGGATGTAACTGTAGCTACATGTTCTCTAGCTTCAATACTTGCACGTCCAGATCCAGTATTTGAGGCTGAGGTTGTACCACCCGCTTGGGATGACATACGGCCTAGTAATTCTAATAGGTTATTGGCTGAACTCAACATGTTATGCGACGGTTCCAGTAGTCCAGTACGTTTCAAATTTTCATGTTCCTATGAATAAAATAAAATGATTGTATCAATTTTAAACAGCGAATGCTCTAATGATCTACAATAGTTTATTCTGCATAAGGACAGCTTCGCTAACTGTATCACTCTAAGCATGAAAATAAAGTTCGTTCATCGAAATCCTGATTCCTTGGTTTCATTCAACAGTAACCTCTTATATCCACTAAACTGATGACAAAGTATTGAATGTTTCTCTTCAAACTAGTTGTACCATCTAATTTCCCGACAACTTGAATGAATCCTATTGGAACTTGCCCAAAATGAATACTGAAACCTTTACCGTGGTGATGATGAAAGGAAGAGGGCCTAAAGAAGATGCGAGTTCACTGACTGTTGGTGAAAATGATTCAATGAAGTGAAAACTAGTGAGGTGGAACATTCAAGAAGTTAGAAGCCAGTGGTTCGAGATATGAAGCGACAAGACTTTAAATTGACCTCTATACCACAGACATATTCATATCATATATTACCTTAAAGCCTCACATATTCAATCTCTACTCATTTTTTTCTATTTGCTCACATAATATTTTCCTGAGTAAGATTTTACCTACTCCTTTCCCGTTTTTCTACATATGACTTTGAAACAAAGCAACCTGAATAGATCATCTTCTATTCCATAACCTCCCTCTTTATGTATGTTTAACTAAAAGTGGCAGAACGCAAAATACTCATATCCTAAGGAGGTACGTTCTAACTATGAATACATAGGTATCTGTAAAAAGGAACGCCTATTACCTCAGTTTAAATCTGGTGTCGAAAAGTCTTATCGTTAATGAAAGTGGATGGACTTGTAGACCGTTCACCTTTTTGGACTGTCATCGTTATTTTTTAGTCCTGACGTAAAACCTAAGCAAATCTATGAGATCTATCTTTGTCATGAAACCCTTACTCTAAATAACCTAATTATGCTTTTCAAATGATGCTTCTTGCTCAAACATTCATATTGCCTCATTGAATAAACGTATAATTAAATACTGTATATTTTTAGTCGATATAATGAGTTCATTGTCATAGGAAATATCAAAAATGAGTGAATATCCCAATGGATATGTATGAGCAACATCTATGAAATAGTGTAGGTATTGCAGCACTACGGATATTCTAGAGAAGACGTAGGAAAGCAGATTAGAGTGATCCAAAAACCCGAACTTTGTTTCTGTCCTATTAGGATGCTTTGGCTCAGAAGGTTAAATATTTCGGACACTCCATCTCATCTCAGTCGCAGTTACCCAGCAATTGTGTCTTTGTCAAAATCTGTTGGATGTCGAGAAATTTTCCGCGTAAAGACAGTATGCATCCTTGGAATATATAATCTACGGCTGAAGCAAACTGTTGTGAGGTAGTAAAATTACAGAATACCTTATCAATAATCCTCAAGCTTGACAAAATCTACTGAAATTTGCTGTAACTGAGTCTGTTTTAAACCTACTAGTCATGTTATAAGTGGTGTTTTCGTTAAACACTGTTATGTCAGGGTCTTGTGTTTGATCATAGATTGGCGACAAACACAATTAGTTCTGAGAGTGAACTCACTCTGTCCATATCGCCAACTTAGTACTCATGAATTTTGAAACTGGTTAACTTCTGTTGTTTGTACAGTCTCCAGTAAGATTTTTGATTCGGCTGATTTCATTAATCTATTACAGCTGATAAACTATCTTCTTGGGATGACTCGGCTCTACAATCTATAGCGGTGATTTAACAACCTGACTCAGCTACTCACCACGACTTTCTTTTTTGTAGGTTATGAGCCACACTTTGTTTGAAGGCTAATGATGCTAACTGGTCGCCTCGGATGAAGTAGGTAGGTAAGGTGAGATTTGAACTCAACAGACAATAGTTACAAGTCGGTTCCTTAGGTCAGTGAGCCACAACTACATACAACACTATTTTGCACTGATACCTGGAGGCACAAATTTTGAGTGCTTGTTTCTTCTGCTTTATAACTCATTGGTTCAGTGTATTGAATAGGATGCTCATACTACCACTGAAACACAAACTGAAAAGGTAATCACTCTTAGTATTGTAGAGAGTCAATGAATAAACTACTGACTTAACAACCGATACCTCATGTTATGGCCAGTCACTGTAGTCTGCTGACCTGTCTAATGACAACATAGATGAATGATGGAAACTTATTCAGATTTAAGGAATTTTGATGTAAAATTGTGTTATATATATATTTACAAGCATGAGTTCCATTGAACATGTTTAACGTCTTCACCGTAAACACACTCATCTACCTTTGTTTATTGACTTGTAAATATGTTGACATATTTTCAAAAATTAAATTTTGTTTACTTTTCTTATGCTTGATATTTCAAAACAAATAAGAAGTATATGTTGTCAAAATATTGCATAATATCATTGAAGCGATATAACGATGTTTATCTGAAAAGTTGATCTAATAAACTTTAGAACATTCAGTACAGTAAAACAGAAAGTACAAAGTATGCTGAGAAAATTGAAGTGGAGTGGGAATTATGTATTCCCTATTTTTTCCCTTCAAAACAAAAAATATAGTACAATGAATTTTCTATATATGAGTCAGTAAAATTTTATTGTTGAAAAAGGGTGATTATCTTAATATTTCATACATTTTTGGGCTGTTTATATGGACTTTTAAACTAATGCATATATATTAATAGCAGTGATACTGCTTAGGATTTCGTAACTTACTTCTATCAACTGACGTACTGAATTCACATCGTGACCCCAAGTTCCAGTATTGCATAAGTGTTCTACCCTTTCAGACTGATGAATAACGTTCTCAGCTGAATTAAAGCATTCCACAGCTAAGTCTAATAGACGCCCACGCTGTGTTAGTATGCCGAGTAAATCACGCCATGCTCGATTTAATGATTCCGCCATTGCAGCATATACCTGACTTTGATTATCCGATGTCTGCTGCGTAACTAGATCATCTGCTCTTGACAACAGTTCTGAAATTTGTTCTTGTTTAGACTATAATAATAATAACAACAATATTGGTAATAATGAAGGAAAGGAAGTGGGGAAATCATGTAGAATATCTCAGTTGAACGCTTATCCATCCTAGCAATATTTTTGGACAAAAGTGGTCGTTCTGATAGCCTTGAAACAGCTAATCATACAACCATGCTATGCTTTTGAGAATCAGTAAAATATTGTCTACTTTAAACAGCCTACCCCACGGGCTATTCTAAACACACAAAATCTCTCGAAGAGGCAGTAGAATGCATAAGCATATGAAACCGTTTGCTGCATGGAAAAACAAAACTGTATACTGTTTCTTTACTAAAGTTGTACCAGCATAGAGTGCTTCATCTATTGGCAATTTAAATTATGCTTCTCACTATGCTCTGAATAATAGGGATACTCACCAGTAATATATTAGGTAGTTTAAATCAAGATTATCTAGATGTTTATAGGTAAATGACATGTGGACTACTGTCCTCAAATTATGTGAAACCAAATTTTGTGTCAAAAAGGAATGGAATGATTCTCGGAATAATGAACTGACTGGACAATATGTGCTAGGTATAGATAAACTAATTTTAATGCTAAAAATGGCATCAAGACTATGCAACAAACGTTTAATTATATTTTCTGCTTTTATAAGAAAACCCATCTGCATATAACAGTCACAATCTCTGAATCTACTGAATGACGAAGTTATACTTTAAGCGGATTGTTTAAGTATATTTTATTTATCTAAAAACTATTCAAGTCTGTCCAATAAAGTGGATACTTTGCTGCCAATTAACTGAGAGAAGATAGAACTTTGCAACCAAACTTTTAAAGTCGACATGTATCGAAAGTCAAACATTATTTACTGTTCATAAGAACGTTAATGCTTACTTAATAATAATACGTCACAGTTAAATACAGTTTACATATTAGCTAGGTGGTATGCAATTTAAGTATTGATTTTCTAACTTCCAGCTTTCTGGTCTAAAATATCTCAGTATTAGACATGCTTAATGTCCACTTAATTATATACCTGTTTCACAGTAAAGTTAGAGCGATAGACTTCCATGTGCACTCAATCCACCATTCCCACTTCAAATTAATTTTGCATGTCAAGTAACTGAAAATATCTCTGGTCATTTTGAAGACATATCAGCCGAAAGTAAATATAACTAACGATAAATAGGACCTGAAAAATGAAAGTGAATGCAAGACTAATCTGTCTTTTGCTAGTGTCCGTAATGTTGAAGGTAACAAATGGGGATGTTGCACCAGATGATAACAATAAGCTTATCGTTTGACAGTATTACTAATGCACTCATCATTATCTGTCGGTGCGGTTTCACATAGTGAGTGCTTGAATGACCATTCTAGAGCTGTCTAATAATTTTGTATCAAAGAACATTATAACAAACTATCCTTTGTGACGCTGAAAGAATACCATTCAGTCTACAAATGTCATAATTATTCACTTAGTAAGACATTTAGGCATTGATACCACATTCAATAAATGATATATTGTAAAACAACGTCTTTTCTCCTAGTGTAATGGATGCCAGCAACGGTGACTGTCTAAGCTAAGATAACACCATTCATGAAATAAACAACACAGTCTTTGGGGTGACTTTTGTAACCATGGTGTTTGTACCTAAAGTGAAATGTTTACTGATAAAGCAAGAAAGGACATTCTCTGGTTCAAAGTTACAAGTTCATTCATGCTGAACCTCAGAGAGTATCGAAATCCATGCTGTTTATTCTTATGAGAAGCATACAGTAATAAAGGAGTAATTCACACTTTTTGATAACATACTGCTCACTCCCCATAAACTCGAAAGATAGATAATAAAAAATGCATCTAATGAATATTTGAAGAGCTGCATCTGCTGATTTGTCGCGCAGAAAAGATTACATTATTTCATGAGGTAGTAAAGAATACTACTGTTTTCCCAAGAATCCGTTACTTACGTTATTCATACGATAATAGAATCAACTGCCTAATAATCTATTAATCAATTGTCACCACAATAAATAATTCTACCAGTAACATGAACATGCTGTAAACAGCATGTGTTTGTAGGCTATTGTTATTCATTCCCATAATTACTTATGAATTTGTTAATGTTTGTATTATGACGTCATCTCGATTACAGACAGGTTCAGTAGAAACTAAGTGGCAGTATCTCCAGCAAATTACAGAAGCACTAACCGGATGATAGTACGCAACTAAACTCCAATACTGAATACTAAATATTCATTTCAAAAGTATTCAACACATGCATAAACTCTTTGCATAATCAGTTTATCTATCAAACTTGCAATCAAGACTTTTCAAAGATGAATATGACTGATCATTAGTATTCGATTATGAATATGAAGCAGTTATTTGATGTTGGAGAACATACAACGCATCTTGGAATCTGGATATTGAACAAAGACAAGGTGAGAAAAATTTCTAAATCTGCTTGTTACATTAAGAAGAAGTCACCATATTTTTTCCAATAAAACAGATTTTGGAAAGAATAATTGTTTGCATTTTCATCCTCTTACTGACAGGATATGCACCATTCTGAGTTTATTTCCTAACTTACTATTTCTATATATATATATATATATATATATATATATATATATATATATATATATATATATATATATATATATATATATATATATATATATAATGCTTACAAACTACTTTTTTAAAGGGCAGTATTCTCATAAGTTTGACTTATACTGACTGAGTTTCCATAAAAGTATTTGTTTGGATTTCAGAATTATGGTCAACAACTGTATGAAATTTATTTTGCAATGCTATTTCATCGATTCAAGTGTCCGATGAGTGATACTTTACATCCACTCGTCTACTATGGAAGGTTGTGAATATTCCCGCAAAAGGTAGGGTTTACGCACTCTGGAGTAAACTGCGTTCCATTGGGATGTTTTATAACCACACATTTTGTATGGTTAATAATTTTATTCAGTACACCAGTTTGCTCCCACATGCAACCTGTCGGTTGTCTCTCAGTGAATGTCACTGTTTCTTATTCATGAAACGTGAACCAGGCAAAGTACACCTTTTAGATTCCTTGCAAGCCACTGCCACTTACTATCAGAGTGTTAGAATGTTTACACGCCTCTACAAGGAGGTCATATGTAAACAAGTTCATCAGTTTGGTTTTGTAAAATAGTAACAATAAGTTTCGAGTTATCACGTGTCACAAGATATTTATCTCATTGTGAACCAAAACAGTTAAGTGAAAATTATTCTAACCCCCATAACTGAATAAGACGTGAACCTCTCTGACCTATTCATAAAGGCTTAAATTCATATTGTTTACAGCAGTTATTCTTCATTTTTCCTTGTATATTTATAGGCTTTTCTACCACTGTTCAGCTTCCTGCTTAGACTACACTCAGCGTGAACTGACAGATCTTGATCAGATTCGTGACCACATATTCCGAATGAATATAAACAGATACAGCTCTTAGTTGGTCAGTTGACGATAAATATCATAACTGTTAGCAATAAGACTAATATCACAAATTCAGAAACTCACTTGTTAGCATACTTACACGATTTAAACAGAAATCGATCGTGGAGATGAGTAAAGTTTCTTTTTAGTCAGTCAGGTGTCATTTAGAAGCACAGGTAAGCTACTTATGGTCAGATAAGAAAATGATACACTGAGCTAGACTCAAGAAAAAACTTTCTTATCACAAGGTTACCTTTCTTAGCTTATATGGTAGGTTACAATTAGACTAAACTGTGACTGAATTAATTCATCATCTAATGATATTCATTGAACTTGATTTCACTGCTAGTAAGTTTAAAAATATAATTTCAACTACTTGAGGTAGCCGTGGTTTGGTAGACTAGTAGTAGTAGTGATACTGGGTGATGATTGAATGTCAAATAAAAATTTGGACCGCAGCCGAATTCGAGCCGGCAACCACTAAGTTTCTTGCCTAGTGCTTTACCACCTAAGTTACCTTCAATCGCCACCCAATATCAAGTTTAAAAATACTTTTTATTTGCCCTCAATTCGTCACTTATTTTGTATAAACGTAATTGCCTCGTTTTATTAGCAACTAGAGTTTGTTAGCTATTTGTTCCATCTTCTAGCATCCATTGATTTTGGATCTACGCAACAGTAGGTAGCCTGTCATCAGTAATTATTACTTTTCCACTTTATGTTTAGTACCAGTTTTATCAACCAACAAACACTTATCAGTATTCAACCATTTTACGTTGTAAAACGGTGGTAGGAATCAATCTCATGAGAGGAAAACTCAATACATAACCTCCAATCACCAACATTCCTGAGTATAATGATGGTACATCTCGTTAAACTTATTTTTAGTGACAGTATCACCAATAATAGTAACGGCTTTTTAATAAAACAAAATTTTAAAAACCTACCGCTAATTTCGCACATAAATGTTCGTGTATTTCTTGCAATGATCGCGCTTCATCAGCATTTCCTCCAATATCATATAGGTCTGGCTCCATGCGCTGAATCCTAACACGAATCCAATTACCACACTGAAATAAAAATAAAATATGCATTTGCATATACTTGAGGATGTAAAGCGCAAACATTATAGTACATATATATATATATATATATATATATTATACAGAAATCTATAAAAGTAGAATATAGACGTTGACTGGGATTACTTTTGGCAGGTATTTAAGCGGCGATTCGTTCAAATGTTCAGCATAAAAGTAGTTGTCCAACTTGTATGTGCAAGTGCTTAACTGAAACTGCGCAGTGACCATTGCTAATACTGAATTTAAATAAATTTGCTACTCTATAGAATAGTGATGTACATGCTAATTCAAAAGGTTTATATCAAAGAAAAAGGAGATAAGCTGCCGAATCTGATGAATGTATACATGTTAGACTTCAAGAGTTTCCTGTTAGGAGATTAATGTTAGGGGATAGGGATTACGTTAGGAGTTCAGGAATCAGTTATGAATGAACTACATCACTTTAGGTTATCAATTAACATTAACTTGACCAACCAACAGTAAGGAAATTAGGGTCTCACTGAGTTTCTCCAACAGTCATCACACAATTTCAGTTCAGCCATAAAAAATCCTATATTGGAAATCCTAATTGTAAACGTAATTTCATGCGGTAAACACACACATATTGTTTAAGTTAACCTAATTAATTATCATCCGACTATGTGAGATAGTCGTAGTTTGGCAGACTAGCATTTATACTGAGTTATGATTGAAAGTGAGATGAGAATCCGATCACGGTCCAAATTTTCATCTCACTTTCAATCACCACTCATTATTAACCTAATTAGTAAAAATCAGAAGTTATGCCTAAAAATAGCATTTTATATATGCGTACATATAACCTTTATTCACGTAGAAAATAACGCATCAGTCAGGAGGAAAATGAAAGCAAGAATTATTTATCGACATTTGTTTTCAACTTGTGTTAAACTTACTATTGTTGTTCAAAATGATCTGTTTTTGGGAAGGTTCAAGGGGAATTTCTCGACTTCAGAGTGATTTTCACAACACAGAATTAATGAAAACAAAATACCAACGCAAACGTTTCTCCTTGTTAGTTTGAAAGTCATTGACATTGCACACCCACAACTCATAACAGATCGGACTGAAGGTTGTCGAATCCCATGGGAAACATTATCATTCAGTTAACAGTTACTAGATTGCACTATAAGAGTCAGCATTTTTTAACTTACGATATTTTGTAATATAGAGTGTTGTCGACTGGTGTCAGCTCTAACCTTATTGGTCTCCTGTATAAAACCATTTCATTAGGATTGCAGGAAATCCATGACTAGTAAGTACTGATATTAAAAACCAACAAAAACTGTACTGAAACTATTTTCATCTAATATAAAACCTTTCGTAATTTTTTTGTCATATTGCTTAGCTTATTGGCAGTAATGGAAAGTTGATCGGCAAAATTGTCAGAGTGATGCTCACATTGGTTACCATCTTATGACCAAGTTGTTTAAGTAATCTGTATGTCTCGAATGATTCTTGTCGGTGAAGTCTGAGCTTCTTTTGAAAATAACATGGCAACTTGAAAGTGAACTTCTATTTAACAGTTAATTCTTTTAGCTTTGACGATGTAGCACTGAATTTATAAGTAAAAGACTTTGAACTCTGATTCAGTTGCAATTTATGATTTTTTGATGAGTTCAATCATCACATTCACCTATGAAAAGTGTATTCCACAAAACAGATATTAGATCGTTTTGGGGGATAAATATGCAAAACTGCTGAAATATTATTGATCTTTCTGATATCACAGATGTGGTAAATTTCGAGTGTATGTCATATGAACAGTAAACCTGACGCCAGTCTCCATTATTCTTCCGATCTGCGTCGGTAGTAATATCAATGAGTACAAATGTTAAAGAAATATATATGTTTTAAATGGCTATATTGTAGTACATTACGCCTGATCATTGTTCTGTACACTGACACTCAGATTTTACGGTTGTTTTTTTTAAAAATATGTTACTCATTCGCTGATCTAATTCTTTTTACCAAGTATGTGCAATTTATCAGGTGCTGTGGATTGTCAAGCATATAAGCGAGTGAATAGTAAGTTAACAAAGAATCGGTAACACGGACTATTTCGATTTCATCTAGTTAATCAATCATGTGTGTGGAAAAGCAGAGTTAATTACAAAGTATATCTGTCAGTAAGGCAAATTTCAAGTCACGGTTATAAAAAACTTCATTCTGAGTTATGACAATCAAAGCTTAACATGGTAATTTTTCGCATATGACACATTTATTCCCAATGTTATATGGCTGCAAGTATTTGGTAGCAAGTGGTACTACTGAGATTTTTTGAATTGAGACACTTATCAGTATCTATAACTTTGGTGAAGTTTATACTTCCTGTGAGATTAGATTTCTTGTCTTTCATCAAATCAATCAGAAAATTTGCCACTGAAAGACGCGGGTTGAAAGTTTTTTCACTTACACAACTTCATTAAGTATATTAATCCTAAAATGTGTAGCAACTCACACAAGCCTGAATTAGCTATCTAAGGTTTTTGTTAGGTTACATTGTGTGGTCATCAAGCTGTAGTTCAAAACAATAGATCTTCAGTGTTATGCCAACTGAAGGTATTCCTCAGAATTCTCGTACACCCACAAATCTCGTTTATTGGAACTCGTTGATTAAGGGTCATGCCTTTTGATGCCTGTGTTTGTTTAACCAAGCCCCGTTACTGAAGATGTTTCCAGTGATCAATTTGGTTACCTTCTCATATAACTCCGAGATAACTCTCCACGCAGTACAACTGAAAGACATCAGCTTCTGCTTTGAAACCATATTCATGCAACCTTTACGAAACTTAGTAATTATTAGCAAATCAGAGCGTATCCAAACCAACGAAGGATTGGATTATTTAGTAAAACCTAAGAACAAAGTTGTTGTGATTCATTGCATAAGGTATATTTTACTTGTGTAATTCTGACGTAATATTTTAGAACAAATAAACAAAAAACAAAGGAAATGCCGTGATTAAAGAAGTAAAATACATCTCATGCAATGTTTTAACCTAGTAGTCACACCTAACAGTTTAGTACCACTATCATGATGATGAAATGAATTCAGTATATCATTCCCCTAACGAAAAGACCCATCAAAGAATAAGATCTTACAATCATTTCTATTCCATAATATATTATAAATTTACTGGAATTGTTGAAGCCAAGTGCATCAGTGTTATCTTCAGTTCTGTCTATGGTAGGACTGAAAAAGTCATTTCTGTTGTGTGTATAAAGGTAAAAATGAATCAGTTCACATTTTCTTCACCTTAAATTGTTGCACTTAACTATAAATGCACCTAAACACCCGAAAGCTTTAGCTGGTTAGCTACCCAATACCCTTCGTATTGTCTTTGACTGACTATCTGTTACCCATAAACTGATTTCAAATCGTTTTTTTGTATTCTGAAAATAAGATGAAGTTAGCTGATTTGTATGACACACATTTCTGACTGACATGAGTAGCTGTATGTAACTAGCACCAACCAGCAGATGTCTCACGTTTATCAGTTCGAACACATTTTAGTCGATGAGATGCCATGTAAACAAAAGCGAAATGTCTGTCCAAAAACGTTTACAGGTTACGTAGTCTAAACTTGTATTTACGTGTTCTCATGTCTTAGTGTTTAGGTACTCTGAAGCTACTATCATGTCACTTTAGAAATATGTCACAGAATCTGTCATTTCTGTGATAGTTGCTAACACTGGAATGCATGGTGTGCATATCTTTCTATTTGAAGCTACTCTCCAGTTGAATTCACCCCTTCTTATCACGAGTGAAACAAGAGACTGGCACTTAGAAAATGAATGTATCACGAAGTCTAGGATAAGAACCTTCAGGTCAAGAGTGAACTGAAGCTTTTGTCTTCCTTTTCTCTCCCTACCAGTTGTAAATCGCAAATTTAGTCTCCATTTTCTGTAATTTATTTTAAATTTGAGGTTTGAATTTCTAGTCAGTAAGTGTACTATTTCGTGAAACCTGATGAAGTAACTATTGACAGCTGAATACACGGAAATACTTCAATAAAACCTACTTTTATCAGTCTTAGGTTTAAAATTCATGAATTCTTTGAAATACTCCAGCACTCGATATGTAATCAACAACAAATCTTTTGATGAATGGAAACCAAGTAACTGTTCATAAACTTTCAAATTTGTTTTCCAGTTAAATCATACAATAAGCAGTGTACATATATGTCATCTGTTTATGACACGCTCATTCTATTGACATCACCACTATGTTTTCATGGGTTTATCGAGCAACGTGTAGTATGAGTTACATCAATTTAAAACACTATTACGAAGTAACGCAATTAAGTAGACTCTGGTATATATTTTTAGTAATGGTGGATAGGATCCTGTCAAACAAAATATTCATTATATGTAGTTTACCATCTGGTAACACAGAGCTCAACTAAAATGGAAGTTTTAGAGACGCTCAACTGGGAATAAGAATATCACACTCATGTTGATGATTCAAAATATCACCCATAATAGCTTCTTGAACATAAATAATTATTCGGATCATGCAATATGATCTAATTCATGAGAAAATCCATATCAATAAGCGCCAGAAAACCATAGTATTTAAGATAACTCAGCTAAAATGGGACATTTCTTGGTCATTTGAACTACTATGTACTTTTTACAATTCAGTCGAAACAAGTTGAACGTAAAATGGTTTAGATTACTTACAAATTTACCAACTGAATAGAAGAACTGTTTACTTTGGATGATAGACACTCTTTAATCAGCAGAGGTGTTCAAACAGCGCTGATTTCGTTAACCGTCCAGCTAGAATCAAGCTAATGGTCAGGGTGTTGTTTATTCTTGCTGAACAGGCCAATGTTGTCTAATTGTTGGTTTAGCTAAAATTATCGTCGAGGTAAGACATAATTACTTGTATTCAAAGTTAGTCTTTTAATACGCAATATGTGTAGTAACGGTAAAAGAAATCCTCATTTTGCAGTGCTACACGTGCACACAGATTCAGCTAGGCATCACGTTAAACTCTCAGATCGAGAAGCAGTAGTGAGCTGGCGAATTCATGCAGTAGAATGAACCAACCCAATAATGCTTCCTAACAGTATTATGAAATAGTAAGCACGACTAATCAACTTTATTTCACAACCTCTTGATAACCTTTCACGTAGGCGAGGAATGCAATGAATTCATCGTATTCTGCTAAAGTTGTTTTATAACTTTGCCAAAACTTTTTCAAATAACCGAGAGAAAAGTTAAACAACCTTACTTCATACACAGGCAATCTACAAACGCTAACATTTTGCTATTAGCTTGTTTCATTTGTAAACTCATTCACCATGACACAGCTTCGTAATTTAGTAGAAGGGTCACCTCTTGAACCAGTCATGGTCACGGAGACAAAAAGAGTTATAAAAGTTTTATCTCCTTACTGAAGGTCAGACCGCATCCTATAGTGGATTTATTGAATCATCAGTGCTCAACTCTTAGCTAGAGGTCTGAAAAACAAATTCACTATGAAACCCCGCTAACTTTTAAAACAGAAAGAACAACTTTTCAATTCTCATTGAATACTTGTTGGCTTTTGCAATAGGATCTTTGAAATGATAACATATCAAAGAATGAATAAGTGTCACATAGAATGATGTTTTGAGCAGGAAATAAATACAAATACAAATAGAACTTACACGTAATACAGCAAGTACAATACGTGCATTCCCAGCTTGTACAGCAACTGTACTGATTGTTGTTGTAGTTGGGTATCCATCAGAGAAATCAGATGAATCGCAAGAGCTTGCTTTGTCGGACATATTGGAGTTTTTATTGCTACTGTTTTTCGATATCGAGGAAATTCAGCTTCAATTGAAATGAAAAGATGTTAACAGCAGTGTCTAATATTACTATGAGTATACAGGGGTAGTTACTTTACTGGAATGATATTTTATGAATAGTTTTATTATTATTACTATTTTATATAATGATGACGATGTGTGTATAAACTGCTTCTAGGTATGATTAACAAGACAAAAGCAAACTTGATGTGTTGGGTTGTATGAATTGTGCTCAGGATAATTTGAGCTGAAATTAAGCGTATTATTGTTGATGATTATTATTCAGCACACAAGTATATGCAACTAAAATAACTAAGGCTAAAATACTCGGCTACTGAAATAACTAATTGCACGCTAAATATGGAAGTATGGATTAATAATATGTGTAACTTCTGAGGAATAAATAAGTCCAAGATTTTCAAAACGTTTTTGTATAATTTACCACTAATGTGTAATTATCAGACTACTGTTCTAGGCTATTCGATGAAAGTCTTGTTGAATAGAAAAGATTCTTCGAAAGTCTTATTGCTTTTCAGAAAATTGAAAATCGTAGAAATAAGAATGCGTGCTATTCAACAAAACACCGAGTTTACTAATCACGGTTAAGCTCACAGCATGTTTTATAACAGTCGATGGGTAACATCTATCCACCCTTTAACCATTTTTGGCTTGGCTTATTTTCACACAAACATACAACTATAGACACATACAAAAATGTCGAATACTTACGCACAAACATGTACATACCTCTGAATGAATTTCCGCTTGACTATGATACAGCACACATCAGCCCAGTGGTTTCCGCGATCATTCTGGTCAATTCCCCAGTGTGTAAGATGTTCATTGGTTAAAAAAGAAATACTCCTCTTCATTTAATTCTGTTTGCCTCAACTACGAATCTATTCGTCCCTATCATAAAATTACTGGTCTGACTGTCGTAACAGATTTCATTGACAGTATTTTCACCTAATTTCGCCCACATATGCACACAGCGAAGTTTAAAGTATGCAACATTTTAATGTATGTGTGTGCATGTCTGCATTTTTGCATATATTTAACATGAAATATTTCTTAAAATAGAAGCTAATCTTAAATCAATTGTATCCCATTGATCTGTTTGGCACAGTTTATTTGATACTGCTTAGCAGAAAAAAGGTAAGTGGGATATTCGGATGTGCTTTTTCACCTTACTATGATGGACATCCATCTTGCGGACCACTGAATGAATGAGATCGAATAAAAATATGAAAGTTGATGGGCGTCATTGAACCAACTGATGATTCCAGACATGACCAATCTCTTCAAGTAGCTAGCCAAAATTCGGTAGTTTGAACAGATAGGCTCTCTGAGCTGAGTTGTTTTGGGTATACCTCTAATGAGATCGACCTCGAACGAGTTAAACGGCCATCCGATGTTTATATCACCATGATTTGACTAGTAAGCAATGCAGGTCGATGTGAGTGGTCTGGAACTACTCATGTCCGTTATTAGTAAACCACCAATCTAGTAGTCAAGAGGAGAATGAAAATACATCTTCGGCTCTGTAAGGAAATATTAAGTGAACTCAGTACACTTGGTTCCTTTTGACAAATCCTTCAGAAATTTATACAAATTATGACCAACCCACTATAAGAAATGATTAAGGTTGGGACATTTGGGCATAGCTGAAGCATTATCATTTCCAAAGCTCAAACAAACATTGTGCATTCTAAAGAAGTAAGTACAACCGGTTTCTCTGCCATGGCCATCTTAGAGGGTTGATCACCCTTATGACGTAACTACATTTCATATTGTAGTCATTTGCTTATTTTTCTATTCTAAACACCCATAGATAGATGCTCATTGATACTTGTGATTTCCCGTTTCTTTAACTGGGTCGAATTGCTCAACCCCTCTTGTCGGATGGGCTCCTATGCGGAGGCCTCAATACTACGCGGATATTCATCATACTGCGGTCTACTTGGTGGCTAGAGGTGGAATCCAGGATGCGCGTTTCGTCCCGTTTAGGACTATCAGTGATCAACAACTGGCACCCGCAGCAGAGGTGATTCTCATGCCCCAGTGGCCTAGTGGATAGCGCTTTGATGTTTGGAGCGATAGGTAGTGGGTTTGAGTCTCAGTTGAAGCATCAGCCGCTGGAGTGCAAGCATGTACAGCTAACGAGTCCCAAAGGGACGAAACGAATGTCCTTATTTCCACTGTTAGCCACCAAATCGACCACACCTCTAGACAGGTATTACATAATTTATTTTAACCTTTGACCAGAAATTACTGTAGAATGTTCTCCCGTTTATACTGTGTATTCACGAATGCCTTACTAAATAAATAATTTCGCGCAAACGAAAATTTTTCCGTCGCTGCAATTCTTAACTCTAGTGGAGAATATTTGTAGCTCAGATAGATAGTCTTGGTTGTATTGTGTTCTCTGAGCTGGGTTATTTAAACGTGAAGCTTTCATCGCCTTGCTAGACGACATCATCAGCACTAACTTCAGTATCAAGTGAGCTGTCAACATCTCTCCGTGAGTGATTTAGTGGCTTACTCTGACGATGTGGTCTGTGATTAGTTGTTTCCTTCGATTGTTGTGTCATTGACTGCATAGACTTTCCTGTTGGCTATTCCTCTGCTTGACCTCTGACCTTTCTGTCGTTTATCACTTTTCTTATTGGTTGATAGACTGGGTCTATGCCTATACACCTGTTGATTGCTGACTGACCTGGATGCCAAGCTTCTAGAAACTCTCTGATATTCTTTGTTTCGTCTGTCCGAAATTTCAACACTGTCGAGATGGAATTCATGTCCATAACTATCCACGTGCATTGAAATGAGTGACGAAATGTGGTGGCGTTTAATAGCCAATTGGTGCTCATGTAGACGAAGGTGAAGAGGGCGGCCACTTTGTCGAATGTAGTGTTGACTACAGTCATTGTAATTGATTTTGTAAATGATATTCGGTTTGTCTCCTTTGTTTGTTGCATCCTGTGGTCTTCATAATGGTGTTTGGAGGGAATTTGTGGGTTTGTGAGCCACACCAATTCCAAGTGGTCTCAGTAATCTTGTCGTGATTCCTGATATATTCTTTTTGTATGGTAGGATGATGCGTTTATTGATTTCTGTCGATGATTTTGTAGTTGATGATGTGCAGGATAGGCATCTTCTGATAAAGTTTCGTGGGTAGCCGTTCTTCTTTACGATGGACACCAAGTAACTTTCTTCATTTCTCCACGAAGTTGTTGTACTGCAGTGTGTTCTCGCTCTTCTGAATCGAGTGTAGGGGGTGTGGTACTATTCCGTAACGCTTGACTAACCCTAATTAACTTGATGTGCTCTAGTACCTGCTTAACCAGTACCTAACCTAAAGTGTAAGTACTGATAACGAAACACAAATCAGAAGGACTGGTTCAGGAATATATTCGGATCAGTAATATATTTATTTAGAATAAATGTAATAGTATTTAGTAGAGGAAAAGTTTATTCAACTTATCGGGCTAGTATGGCTGAACTGAGGACTCTGAGTACGTGCGTGCTAACCAGCACTAAGGAAGCGCAAAGTGGCCTCCAAGCCTGATCGGATGCATTCTCGTTAAAACAAAACTTAAAACACTAAAAGCATCCTAGGTGAGCAAGGGTTTTATTTAGTTAATTTAATTTAATGTATTTATTTTAGCCTTAGTTGTATTTTTGTGCCAGGAAGGTGCACTACAGATTATCCCCCTCATAGAAGGTTATTGGGATACCAGCAACCTTCGATGACTACGAGGCGGACATGCAACACCTTTCCATATTGGTGATGGAGTAGGTGACGTGTGGGTCTCCGAAGCTAGTGCAACTATGCACACCTACGAGGTAAGAGAACTTTGCGTCTAGACGCACCCCTTCTCGCAGTAGTGAAAAATGACTCGAAGCTTCCATCTACTTTTCCCTATTGATTCTTAATCTCCTGGGGAGTGTACAAGGGGAAATTGTTACAAAGATGAACCGCAGAACGATCCATGTAGCATCGTCGGGGGCTAATTGTATCCAATTTTCAATGAATTTTACAGATTCGGCAAGAAGAGAAATAGAGAACATTAGCGTGCTAAGAAAAGTAAAAGCAAACAAATGCCAATGGTAAGGCAAGTACAGAAAAAAAGTAATGGCCAACCAAAAACGTTTTAGAACTTTTATTGCATTTTTGAGTTTTTAAATTTTTCTTTTTTCTTTTTAGTCGTGAACAAGAAAATCTTGAAAGCTTTAGATGTACAAATGCAATGTTAGCGCACGCAGGATTAAATAGTTGCAATCCCGAAGTTACCGTATGAATTTGCGCTGGGACTAAGTAACGAAATCGGCATATCGTTTGGGCCAGTGCACACGCTTCCCAGTATGTGTGGAGGGTACTGGCTCAGTGTTATTAGAGGTGACTTTTTTTAGAAGATTGATGGTACTCACGACTACACGAGTCTTTTTGAGGGTCTGGCGGCAAGGTTTCTCTGGTTGCGTCGGTGTAGAGGAAGGTGGGTCGTCTTCTATATACGCTGCCTTCAACCGTCCTAATCTGTTAATAACAAAGAACTTTTCTTTCTTGCTGAGAACCCTGAAGGATTCATCGTATGTAGGCTGTAAGAGTCTACGTACTGCATCACAACGCACAAAGACGTGTGTGCAGTCTTGAAGTCTTTTATCCAACTGCACCCGTTTACACTGGATTTGTGTGGATGGGGGGTTGGAGGTGGCGCATATGAAGCTTAAGACTTTGCGCATAACCGTGGTCGTTACAGGAGTCTGCACGCCAGTGATTTTGTGTGTGCTGATGGTGTCGTCTAGACGATGAAAGCTTCAAGATTAAATAACGCAGATAAGAGAACACATTACAACCAAGAATTGTCACCTCTCCTTTCATATGACCAAATAAGTTTTTTACTGGGTTTCCGAAATTCACCTGCCCTAGTAGAGTCAGGTATTTAGACTATGATCTGTTGTATATCCTTGACATTTTT